AATTGCACAGTGGTATTATGTGCACCTCTGCCTGCCTTAAGAAAGAAAAAGTGAAAGAAGATCCTTTTACCTAACTGAAGAAATTCTTTCAGATTTATCTAAACATTAGTAAAATTGCAACATTAACTCGTCGAGTACCGTCATTATAGACACAATTATAGAACAATAGGTTGCGGTCACCGGTGACCGCTTGGTGTTTGACAGTTTAAATAGATTAACCCAAAGAACACAGATATACGCGGGACTCTATATGTTTTCTATTGTATCTCATATGCTAGCAGATAGGAGGTTAAATCATTAAAAAAAGTCCACGACCCTATTAAAAGAAAATGGTATATTTACGCGCAGACGTGAATTTAACGCAAATCGAAAAACCCAACAATATGGGAGACTAACCTATCAATAGGCAATTAAATGTTAAACTAAATAGTAATTTAATTGTTAAAATAATAATATTAATCAAAACTGGATATTTTATCTCACTACCTAACACATCATCATACCTTAAGTGTAGGAGAGCCATGCACGAATAGGCCGGCTCGACCGGAGTGATACCACGGCCTCACAGAAAACTCACGTTTCATGTGAGTAAGGTTATCGGCAGCCCAATTATTCCCCTACCCCCTTCCCCGATCTCCCCAATCCCCGAACACTCAACAATCCTCAAATTCCTACTCTCCAAAAGGTCGATAACGCACTTGTAACACCTCTAATGTTCCAGGTGTCCATAGGCGACGCCGAATGCTTACCATCAGTTGATCCGTCTGCTCGTTTACCGGCTTATGCCATAAGACAAATATTTACATTTTCTTCCCGCCGTTTCCAGTTTAGGATTGGCACTGAATTTTAAATTTCAGCTGAATATACTTAATTAATTCAGACTGCCCATGTTTACCTTTTGTCAGTTTTCCACTGAACGTAATCATTTCCTGATTTTATAATAACTATCGTAAGATATACTATAAACTGAATTAACTATAAACAACTGGACTTTAAAAGAGACAGACAGACCTCTGAGTTTATTTCGGCATTTCTTCTCAGAGTAGTCAGGAAATGTCGACCTCATCGTTCGTTTGATAAAATTGACGTGTAAAAGTGCTGCCTTGTAGCCTATTTGCAGAAATAAATTCACTTGTTTCACAACGGTTTACGCACGTAAATATACTGAGAAAACCTCTACTAGTTTCGAGTCACAGAGGGACTCTTCCTCATGAACATTTCATTTTCAACCGACTTCAAAAAAGGAGGAGGTTCTCAATTCTACCGTATATATGCTTTTTTATAATTATTAACTTGTGTGTATCTTACTTGTTGTACAATATAAACATATTTTCTTTGGTCATATTCAACATTTAGCACTCACTTTATCACGTGAGATTTCTTCCTACTCATATCATAGTCACTATTAAAAATATACATTAGGTATTAATGGAAAAAATTGCAAATGTTATTCCTGAAAAATATACACTCTATCCTGACAATCCTTACTAATATTACTATTATAAATCTGAAAGTGAGTTTGTATGTTTGTTTGTTCCGCTTTCACGCCGTAACTACTAAACCGATTGCTTTGAATTTTTGCAGGCCTAAAGTTAGAAGTCTGGATTAAATAATAGGGTACTTTTTATCCCGGAAAAATTTAATATTCCCAAGAGAAAACGAAATTATTGGTATAGATGGCGCTGTGAGTATTGGTATAATATATGTCGCATAGGCTTGTTTCATCCTTTTGTGACGCGAGCGAAGCCGCGGGTAAAAGCTAGTACTTAATAAACACGAACAAAAGAATATGCAATTTGGTGCAGCTGTTCTTGAGTTACGCGTGGACATACATTTCCGTGAATCATTTTTTTATTTACATAAATTATTCACGTGTTACATTCATGGACTAGGTTATGTACCTCCCTAATTGTATTTTACATTCTTACGGTGAAGGAAATCATCGTGAGGAAATTTGGATTTTTAATTCCTAATTATAAGTTTGAAATCGCCAATTCGTATTGAGCAAGCGTGGTGATTAATGCTCGAACCTTCCCCGTGCGAGAAGAGGCCTTTGCTCAGTAGTGGGCATGATGATAAGAATTTAAAAAAATATGATTGCAGTATATTTGTTTTTTTTTTTTATAAAAGCTTTGGATGGACATAGGACAAGATCACTTTTTCCAAAAGGTAGAAAGTTTTAAATATAAATGAAATATTAGATTTTTAGACCATTATTATAATAATACGAGTTATCATTCTGTTACGGAAACTTAAATCAAAGTTTACATGTTTGTTTGTTATACCTTCACGTCAAAACGGCTGAAGGGATCGAGATAAAATTTGGAACAGGGATAGATTATGATCTGGACTAACACATAGGCTACTTTTTATATTATAGGAACGCGGGCAAAGCCGCGGGCAGAAGCTAGTAGAGAAGATAGTATACATTTTTCCTTTTGTCTGATCATTTGGGATTAAAATCTAAGTAAGGGCTGTTACAAAGCCTTCGCCATAATCAAAAACTTATAAAAGAAAACAAATGATAACATCAAACAACTAATTTTATTCCTACACTAGCTTTTGCCCGCGACTTCGTACGCGCAGTCCAGTTTTCTCCCGTTCCCGTAGTATTTTTAGGTTTTTTTTCTGTCGTAAGAACCTTCTCCTGACAATAACAATCACAATAAAAAAAGATCAGCCAAATCGGTCTAGCCGTTCTCAAGTTATGGCGTGACAACGGGAAACGGGTTTCATTTTTATATATATATAGTTTTTTTTTTTTAAAAGACGTTGCTCCTCGTCAGTATTATCTCCTGTGTCGTGGGTGCGTTTACAAATACACAAGTTCACATACACATGACACCCAGATCCGAAACAGCAATTTGTGGATCACATAAAGTGTTGTTCCGTGCGGGGATCGTGCAGCCGGTTGCCCCGCCACCGCACCAATCGTGCAGTCAATATTATTGTTCAGACACTATACAAAATACAAACTGTATACAACACGGTAGTGTAGGCCAGTGCCAAGATATTTTTCCCCACGTGCATGCACCTGACATTCTTATTTTCCGTCTATTATAAGTCACCATCATAAATATAAATAAAATTCTAATAATAGACTGCCTCGTTGGTCCAGTGTTAACAAGTGCAACTGGCGAGTGAGAGGGTAAGCGTTCCTTTGTTTTTTCCAACCCCGGAGCCCCACGATGCAGCGCCTATTACGGCAACACCGTAAGGAGACCTATGTGTCGCGGAGAACCTAACGGGTAACTGGTTAAAGGTAATACATTCATCTTCTCTTCTCTTCTACATAGGACTCATTATTAATTCATAAACTACTTCTGCTTGTCGCGGAGGAGAACCTATCGGGTAACCGGGGGGGCTCCGGCTCGACGTGCAGGAGAAGGAACGGGGTGGTTTTTAGTCAGTAAGAGTCTGACACTCCCTCCCGCCTCACCCAGGCGGGAGCAGCCATTCGATGATTTTCCCCCCTTAAAAAAAAAAAGAAAGGAGACCTATGTGTCTACCTAGAGCCTTTCCATGTAGTGCACGTGACCACTTTGCCGCTGCCGTCTTCCTTGAGGTCATTATGTGGGCGCCAAGATTCCCCACTCTATGCGCCTTGGCCCCAAAGGTGTGCATGCCAATACTGTAGGCAGGGAATCAACGTCGACAAATCGATAATCGAACCCTTTACTTTATATTTTATGCACCAACACTCTATGCACCAATCTGTCTGTAGATTTGCCTATTTAAAAATAAATATAATTAAGACAAAATTCTCTCTTTAGCAATCAAATAGAAGCAAGAGCGGTTTATATGGCTATTAAATAAAACACACTTTTCTAAATATAATTACTTAGAAAATAACTATAATTAATTAGTGATACTGTCAGTTATTAATAGATGCTGTCACACTATAATTATATGATTATCATTATACTGGACATATCATGACATATTTTCTTTAATGCCTGCCTCATTGCCCGAGTGGTCGCAAGTGCGACTGCCGGGCAAGGGGTCTCGGGTTCGATTCCTGGGTCGGGCAAAAGTATTACTGGGTTTTTCAAAAAATTCCCAGTAGTAGCACGGAGTCTGGAATTGTGCCCGGTATATGGCAATAGGCTCACCCCCTATTACATGGGACTCATAACATAAATAGTGAAAAGTGGGTGTTACATTGTACAGTGGCATAATGTACACCTCTGCCTACCCCTTCGGGGATAAAAGGCGTGATGTTATGTTATGTTATTTTCTTTAATTAAGCTATGTATGGTACATGGATTAAAAGACGATGCCGTGACAAGGTTGGTAAAGGGAATGTTACGATAGTTTGGACATGTACAAAGAATTGAAAGAAAAGTTTGAATTATATGGAGCAGATATGAATGAGACCATTGGTAGAGGGCGCCCTAGACAGACATTATACCGACCGGATTGGCGATATACTAATTCGTCAAGTACCGTCATTATAGACACAATTATAGAACAATAGGTTGCGGTCACCGGTGACCGCTTGGTGTTTGACAGTTTCAAGAAAAGCCATATTACAAGTACCTTAGTACCATTAACTAACGAGCATGCAAGAAAAGACTGATGACTGTTGATGAAGCGAAAGAAGTACTTATACAAGAATCGTAGCAATTGGCGTTCCATAGTCTCTGCTTACCCCCATGGGAGACCGGCGCGAGGTTATGTATGTATGTACGTAACAACATCTTGCCTTTTATAAGCCAAAAGATTAAGCAACAGTAGTTATTTTTAAGGGGGAAAAATCATCGAATGACTGCTCCCACCTGGGTGAGGCGGGAGGGAGTGTCAGACTCTTACTGACTAAAACCACCCCGTTCCTTCTCCTGCACGTCGAGCCGGAGCCTCGGTTACCCGATAGGTTCTCCGCGACAAGCAGAAGTAGTTTATGAATTAATAATGAGTCCTATGTAGAAGAGAAGAGAAGATGAATCTATTACCTTAAACCAGGCGCAATACCATATTATCTTGGCCACATTATTTTGACTGCAAGGTCGCTGTCGTGGTGGCTGGGTTCGATTCCCGCACGGAGCACATCTTGTGTGAACTTGTATGTTTGTTAACGCATGACTTAGTAGATAATCCTAGTTTGGGGTAACGTTATTAAAAAAAATATCTATATATTAGGTAGGTTCTTTGCCCAATACAGAAATTAGGTAGGTTCTTTGCCCAATATAGAAACCTCTAACAGCAGTCGCACTGGCAGTTACCAACGAAGCACTTTTACATTTTAAATTTAAAAACCAAATTTCGTTTTATTTAATAGTTTAGTTGTAGTTAATTTTAAGTTGTAAATATTTACCTATTAATTAACAATATCACTTCAATGGACGGACTTTGCTTCAATGTATAAAAATAAACTGATAAACTCTTAAAAAAACCAAATTCAAATTTCGAATTTCTTCCCACAATCCCATAGACAGTTAATGCAAACGTAGAGTGCGTCATAGACAAGTTGTAAATCTAAAAATACTTAGAATCGTGCCTTTGAGTACCAGGAACGCATACCTGCTCAGTGCTTGTTACTTAGCCATTTGAGGCTTTAGTCTATATTTAACCATAGATATTTTTAGCTTGCTAGCCAACCTTTTTACAAGGTTCAACGGACCAAATGACGTGGAGCGATTTTACTTAAGGAATGGAATTTAAGTTTTCTATCCTGATTTAAGTTTTATACATATTTTGTAATTCCAAATATGTAGTATGTGGGAGAGATTAAAAAAAACAAAACAAAACATCACGCCTTTTATCCCCGAAAGGGTAGGGGCAGAGGTGCACATTATGCCATTGTACAATGTAACACCCACTTTTCACTATTTATGTTATGAATCCCATGTAATAGGGTGGGTGAGCCTATTGCCATATACCGGGCACAATTCCAGACTCCGCGCTACTACTAAGAATTTTTTTTCAAAACCCTGTAATACTTTGTCCGACCCGGGAATCGAACCTGAGACCCCTTGACCGGCAGTCGCACTTGCGACCACTCGGCCAACGAGGCAGTCACAGTTAATTAAAAAAAATAAGTAAATGAATAAGGCGCATTATAACTAGGTGGGATACCTACTTCTTTCCTTATTTTTTTCCATTTTCTTTAACAATTATGTAAGTAAACGAAAGATTTAATGTTATTTAAACAACTAACACAATTATTAATACAAAGTATGAATAGATTAGTAATCAGAGCAAGAGAGCAGAGCAATTAAAGAAGGAGAGAGATTTGCTAAAATTGGACTCAATGCTCTGAATGTATAATTCATAAATTAGAATTTTAAACTTAAAGTTAAAAACTCATAAATATAGATCTGTTTACCGTTTTTTATGGACGAATAATTTTATTGCTTATGATAAGCTTTGCCTTATAAAAAAATAGGCCACGTTATATCTTATTTATTTATTTATTAATACTTTATTGCACTCACAGAAAAAATTTTTAAACATTGCAATAGTAATTTGAGTACAATGGGCGGTCTTATCACACGCGGCGATTTCTTCCAGACCACCTTTGGATGGAATTTTTGAAAAGAATCTGGGAATGGGTGGTAGATGCACAATAAACGAAAAACGAAACAGAAGAAAAACAAAAAAAAAACAAATTAAACAATCAATAAAACTTACAGACTACATACTAAAATGGTAAAAATGGGCAATACTATGGAATAAATATATACTTAAATGTAATATGAAAATCTTACTATTAGTAAAGTTATTTGATCTAATACAATTTAATAATTAAAAATATATAAAACCAAAAAGAGACACAACATAACACCATTCTACTCTTTTGGAAACTCCCTCCCGCCTCACTCAGGCGGGAGAAGTCATTCGATGATTTTACCCCTTTAAAAAAATACTCCTTTGAAAATAAACCTATTTCTATCATCAGGCCTATAACTGTCCTAACGCTTAGACATGTCTCATTTCATATGGAAATGGAATGAGCATTAATCACCACACTTGGTCAAAGAGCGTTGGCAATCCGAATCTCCTTTATTCTAATAATCCTCTTGTAACACGTAGCAGGGAGGGGCATTAACCACTTGCTCTAATCTAAGTGGATTTTCATTTTTAAACTTATAATTTCCAATTTCAGGTTTCCTCACGATATTTTCATTTACTGTTTGTCAGACCTTCATGTAACCATATTTAATCATTCTTTTACAGTATGTATGCCAATCCTGGCGTACGGGACAGCAATGGGGTGGATATCCCCCAACAAGGCTCTGCTGATGGGGGACTACTCCCCCTCCAGCTCACCTCTCTCTGAAGAGGATGTTTCCTGGATGGCATCCATTATGTTCATCTTTGCACCAATCGCTGTGTTTGTGTATGGCGTGGCGGCTGACAAGTTTGGCAGGAAGAATGCTTTACTTTGTGCTTCTATACCTATTTCTGTAAGTATTTGTTTATTTAGTAAATATCAATATGCAAAAATAACGACTGCCTCGTTGGCCGAGTGGTCGCAAGTGCGACTGCCGGGCAAGGGGTCTCGGGTTCGATTCCCGGGTGGGACAATTTATTACTGGGTTTTTTAAAAATCTCAGTAGCAGCACGGAGTCTGGAATGTGTGCCCGGTATATGGCAATAGGCTGACCCCCTATTATATGGGACTCATAACATAAATAGAGAAAAATGGGTGTTACATTGTACAGTGGCATAATGTACACCTCTGCCTACCCTTTCGGGGATAAAAGGCGTGATGTTATGTTATGTTATCAATATGCAACTTTATTACATTTTTATCTGAGCTCTACACTCCATCAGCATTAGTCCAGTCATTTTTCAATTTAAACTAACTAATTAAATTTCAATGGACAAAACTACCTTCCAACAGAATTTGTACACATAATAAACCTGTGGTTACTGTCTATACCACTACATAATAGTTATTAAGGATTTGTCATAATCCCCACACTTGATAGACGACATGGGGATAGCAGTTTTTTTTTAGAGGGAAAATCATCCAATGACTTCTCCACGATGAGGCGAGAGGGAGTCAGACTCTTATTGATGGGGATAGCAGCTATGACACAATAATATAGAGGATAGCATTACTAATCCCTCAGTCACAATTTAGGACATATCTTCTAGTAATATTATCCTAATAAAAACATCCTTTTCATTCACAGATCGGGTGGGCAGTGAAATTGATGTGTGCGCATCCAATCGCATTGATTGGTGCCCGCGCACTCATTGGCTTCGGTTCCGGTGGAGGGTTCGTGGTGTGTCCTCTATATGTCAAGGAGATCAGTGAGGACAGTATAAGAGGAATGACGGGGACCTTCGTTATATTCTCACAGGTAAGAACATCATGAAAATTCACCAACATCACAAGTGTGGGAGAGCCCTGCTTCGGCACGAATGGGCCGGCTCGACCGGAGTTATACCACGGCGTCACAGAAAACCGACGTGAAACAACGCTTGCGTTGTGTTTCGTCGTGTGAGTGAGATTACCGGAGGCCCAATTACCCAATTGAAAGTCATAGTTAAAGTATTTACTTTAATTAATATTTTATGTTTGAAATATTTAAAACGTCAAAATTTAACTGTAAATGAAGCTAATTTGAGCAGACGATTTAGAGAACACAGGCACTGGCAAAGAATTGGACAAGTAGAATGTCTGACCCCTTTCCGATCATCAAGACAGTGCATTCATAATATTATACTTAATAGATAACTCAAAGTAATATAGACCAATCACATGATTCATATAATTATACGATAGAGATATAACTGCACGTGTCTTTGTGTAGATCTTTATATAATAAATCACTTGCGTTGTATAAAATATCTATTTAAGTATAAATTAATGATCTTTTAATGATTGGCGCATGCCATCTCCATTAGGTTTAATATAGAAACAATTATGATAACTAAGTGATTAATCGTTATTTTGTTGGTCAAGTGGCTGCAAGCGTGACTGTCGAGTTAGGGGTCTCAAATTTGATTCACAAGTTAAGTGTGGGACAGCCATGCTTCGGCACGAAGGGGCCGGCTCGACCGGAGTGATACCACGGCCGAGCAGAAAACCGATGCGACATCACTTGCGTTGGAACTACTGAATAACTTTGAATGTTTAGCAATTCTTTCATACTAATTTTATTCTACAGTTAAGAATTATCTGTACACTAGCTTTTACTCGCGGCTTCGCTCGCATCACAAAAGGATAAAAAGTAGCCTATGTGACATATACCTACCAATAAATACAGCGCCATCTATACCAATACTTTTGTTTTCCCTCGGGAATATCAAATTTTTCCGGGATAAAAGTACCCTATTATTTAATCTAGGCTTCTATTAATTATTAATTAAAGCAATTGGTTTAGTAGTTCGGCGTGAAAGCGGAACAAACAAACAAACAAACAAACTCACTTTCCAATTTATAATATTAGTAAGGATTGTAAAATCTATCCTAAGAAGGAAAAATAAATTACCTAAGTAGGTATTTAAATGTGGTCTAATAATTGTATAGGAAAATACTTAGGCATCTCAATAATATCTTTAAGATCAAATAAATATCTTATATGTTATTATGTCTATCAGGTACAACTACCTACGCTTCTAACATATGCATCATATACATGACATTCTGAACATAGGGTCCCAATGACTTCCAATTGCCGGTTGGAAGCGAGCTGCATCCAGCGGCTCGCTGCGATCTTAAACTGTCAAACACCAAGCGGTCACCGGTGACCGCGACCTATTGTTCTATAATTGTGTCTATAATGACGGTACTCGACGAGTTTAAAATGCATAGTAAACATGTTCACTACTAGCGATGATAGGCCAATTATAACGCAACACAAAAAACGCCTTGTCATCATCATCAGCAGGCCGTGACAGTCCAAAGAAAGAAAGAAAAAAAACTTTATTTCACGCCAAGAAAAAAGTGACACGTATTAGTAGGTAATGGTGGATACATGTCCAGTGTTGAACTATACGAAACCTTAACACTAAAGAATGACAATGACGGCGAAGCGTCACCGATTCATGGTAGATGCCCCACCCACACGCACGTAGCTCTTCGCATCTTAAGTGTGGGAGAGCCATGCTTCGGCACGAATGGGCCGGCTCGACCGGAGTGATACCACGGCCTCACAGAAAACCGACGTGAAGCAACGCTTGCGTTGTGTTTCGTCGTGTGAATGAGGTTACCGGAGGCCCAATTACCTTCCCCTTCCCCAATCTCCCCAATCCCTGAATCCCCAACGATCCTCAAACTCCTAATCCCTAAAAAGCCGGTGACGCACTTGTAACGCCTCTGGTGTTCCAGGTGTCCATGGGCGACGCCGATTGCTTACCATCAGGTGATCCGTCTGCTAGTTTAACGGCTTATGCCATAAAAAAAATCAAGCTTCCTTGTGTGTACTGCTAAGGAGTGGAATGCTTTGCCAAATTCTGTATTTCCTGAAGAGTATTGGGTGTCTTCAAGGCCCGAGTGAATAGGGTGCTTATGGGACGACGGGCTCCATCGTAGACCGCATCATCGGTTACCACCAGGCGATATAGTGGTCAAACGTCGGCCCATCAAATATAAAAAAATGTTTTCTATAATCTCCTCGCTTGGTAGGCGAATTGGAGACCACTGTTCAAAAGAATCAGTTTTATCAATAACCGCTACTGATACAATAACGAACCTAAACCTTACGGGTTACCGGGGCTCCGGCTCGCAGTGCAGGCGAAGGAACGGGGTGTTTTTAGTCAGTAAGAGTCTGACACTCCCTCCCGCCTCACCCAGTCGGGAGCAGTCATTCGATGATTTTCCCACGTTAAAAAATAAAAAAACCGCTACTGCCCAGTCTCTGTTAAATGTGTAATCCCTTTTCTGCTCTTACACCCGTGGGAAGACTAGCAGTGGTATTAAAATGTATTCTACTCTGACGTCACCAGACGGTGTCGTCAAAAATGTCTATTGTAAGAATAATCTTTGTTTTAACCTCTTCGGGGAATGTACCTCGGTAATGGTACAAATCAAGCTAGTTATACCATTTTATCATGATCTCGCTTTATATGAACTTTCTGCGCATTTGACGGTCAGCTTATACTGGTTACTCATAGCCATACCCTGTGTAGCCACATCAAGCTATTAGAACCAATTTATTATGATCTCGCTTTATATGAACTTTCTACACATTCGAGGGTCAGCTAATACTGGTTTTTTATATCTTGGTCTGCAGCTGCGTGTCATACCTATCCTGTCAATCACGAATTCGCAATACAAAACCGCAATATAAGATGGGTACTCCCAACTCGAAACACTTCGGAAAACAATTGCGAAGTCGTGACATCTGAAACCTTGACAAGAAAATATGGCGATAACTATTGGCGATGGGATTCCCTCGGTGTGGTGCTAAAGATAACCTTTTTACAATACCTATGAGTTGTTTTTTTAATGGTTAGGTAGTTCCGAAATTATTTAACAACCGTGTATCGATTTTTTATTTACGTATACCTTACACTTGTCAGAATTTACGGCACGTCGCGTTCCGCGCGCGCCTCATAGAGCCATCAGACCACCACAGACGGGGCCCACTAGGGCCGATGCCGATTCGGAGTCGCGGAGAACCTAACGGGTAACCGGGGCTCCGACTCGACGTGTAGGAGAAGGAACGGGGTGGTTTTTAGTCAGTAAGAGTCTGACACTCCCTCCCGCCTCACCCAGGCGGGAGCAGTCATTCGACGATTTTCCCCCCTAAAAAAAAAAACACTTGTCAGAATTGATGCGGGTTCATGTACTTCGGAATTTTCCTCCTAGTATGTGAATCCGTCGATGCGGAGCCGCTTAGGACTTAACGGGTTGTCGGGGCTGCGGCTCGACGTGCAGGAGTAGGAACGGATTGGTTTTTAGTCAGTAAGAGTCTTACACTCCTCGAGTCACCCGGGCGAGATAAATCTTTGAATGATTTTCCCCCCCTTTTAAATATAGTACGTGGATCCCTTTGTGAGCTACTTACAGTATATATTTCTACTTACCATAACTTCACGCCTTTTATCCCCGGATGGGTCGACTGAAGTGCACATTACGACACTTAATGCCACTGTTCAATGTAACACCCACTTTTCACTATTTATGTTATCAGTCCCATGTACTTTAGGGGGTGAGCCTATTGCCATATACCGGGCACAATTCCAGACTCCGTGCTACTTCTAAAATTTTTTATGTAGTAACCTTGGACTTCGAATGCGCTTGCTTCTTGCATCGACCATTTTTTTGTCTCTGCATCACCCAACGGTCTGACTACAAGAAAATGCTGGAAGCCTTTTAAAATAAAATAGTTCTAGACATTAGCGCGTTCACAGTAATAATAGGCATGGCGACTATTTTTTAATTTTTTGTCCGTCTTTTAGATATTTTAAAAATCTTCGATACGTATTTTTTCTTTTTTCTCGTATCTAAAAAAACATGTAGATATTTTGAGTTAAAATGACGCGTGACGTCACACTTAGGTACGATTTCTCCGTAAGTGTGACGTCAACACCCCCCACTCTCTAACTTTAATGCGGAATAACTACGTATTCTTCTGTTAATTTGATAAAACAAAAAATACGTGTCTGATATTTTCGTGCGATCTTAATGACGGACTAATTACTTTTTGATTTTTTTACCCTGTCGACACGCCTATTATATTGTAAAGATATACAAGATTCATAGATCGTACAATAAAAAGTCTTCTTAGAACCGTATGAGGAAATGAACAGGAAAATCATACCTTTTATATTATTATGTAAGAGGAATACCTGTATTATATATTGACTTACGCATTTTGTCTACAATTTTTACATAGGTTACATAATAGAAACTGCCTCGTTGGCCGAGTGTTCGCAAAAAACTCAGTAGTAGAGCGGAGTCTGGAATTAAGCCCGGTATATGGCAATAGGCTCACCCCCTAGTACATGGGACTAATAACATAAATAGTGAAAAGTGGATGCTACATTGTACAGTGGCATAATGTGCACCTCTGCATACCCCTTCGGGGTTAAAGGCGTGATGTTATGTTATGTTTTTCAATTACGCCATCTTCCTTATACCGTCATCTTTCCGGCGTCTAATTTGTTTTTCTAAAACCACTTTTCCTTTTCAGACTGCTGGTAACCTTCTGGTCTTCATCCTAGGAGACCTGTTACCTTTCAACACGGTGCTCTGGATCCTGCTGGCTATACCTCTCATTCATTTCTGCATACTGCTGCGGTTGCCGGAGACACCATCGTACTTGGTCAAATGCGGGAGAAATGAGGTAAGGTTTATTTGTTGATGATATCCTTACTAATATTAAAAATCGGAAAGTGAATTTGTTTGTTTGTTCTGCTTTCACGCCGTAACTACTAAACCGATTGCTTTGATTTTTTGCAGACGTAAAGTTAGAAGTCCAGATTAAATAATAGGGTACTTATTATCCCGTAAAAAATTGATATTGATATTTCCGAGGGAAAACCAAAGTATTGGTATAGATGGCGCTGTGTGTATCGGTATATGTCACATAGGCTACTTTTTATCCTTTTGTGACGCGACGCGAAGCCGCGAGTAAAAGCTAGTAATAAATAAATGGGGTAGGTATAGGTATAGGTGTTATATACTAAATTAAAACTAATAGACACGGTTTACCTATATGCAGATGGGCTATATTGTAACTGGTCAGTTTAAACTTTCGAAGTGAGCTCGATCTCTTTGACTAGATTTTGGTGTTACATTATTCTGACACAATTAGACTTCTATCGACTGATGATGACCGACCAACAAAACTATGTAACTAGAGAATTATATTGTGAACCTGATTAAATAAGAGTAACCTATCGAGTTTCTTGCTCGTTCTTCTCCGTAGGAATCTACACCTGAAATGTGCAAATAGTTTCATTCTTAAATTTTTTGTTGACGTTCAAATGTGTCTTCCTGGTCCAATTGAAATAAATGATTTTGACTTTGACTTTGAGCTCGATCGTATTCTCGTCCGTTATTGGTCGAGATTATTTACATAACCAATAACATGGCGATCATTTCGATCTTTCGAATTGAAAGTTATAAAATAACCTAGCAGTCCATGATGATTATGAATCCCAGTATTGCTTGAAACCAGTCGAGCTTCTTCGAGTAGTTTATGTGAATAAGTCGTAAGTTTTAATTAACTAAATTATTGATAACGATAATTTAAGCATGTATAAGAGAAATTCAAATATCATTAGTCGAATGACAGATACAACTCCTAAAAACGAAGTCCGGGTTCGATTCCTAAAACAGTAAAAAAACTCACGCTTGCTTAATCTATCCAGACTCCATTCTATTACTGTGGAAGCTATGTACACACGGCCACACATCAATCTATACAAAACCAGTGTATCCTGGTGTCGCGTCGCATCATCTTTCCGCACATTTAACGTTCAGTTTATACTGGTTATGTAAAGCTCGATGTGTAGCTTTTGCACAATCTATTCCAACTCCAATGGTTTACCGAAAAAAATAATATTAATTTCAATTTGCATAACCAATAAACAATTACATTGACAATTAATAATGCAACATCAACACCTTTGTTCATTATACAATTAGATATGAATCAATCAAAATGACTGATTAACTTGTTAGCAATGATTAATCTTATTTACTAACGAGACTTTAATGCATTATCATTTTATCAGTCATAAGTAAATTGCAATATAAATAATAAATTATCTTTTATAATATTGCATGGATATTAATGTATGCGTAAAATGTGAAATTGAACAATTTCACTTAGGTAATTGTGTTGTGTAGTTGATGATTATTTAGATACCACTGACAAACGATAAAGAAAACATCGTGAGGAAACCTGGGTTTATAATTTCTAATTATAAGTTTGTAATTGCACGCAATGAGCAAGCGTGGTGATTAATGCTCAAACCTTCTCCGTGTGAGAAGAGGCTTTGCTCAACAGAGGACACTTATAGGCTGTTGATGATGATGGGCTAAATAAAGGCTTCAAATCCCAGCTTATTGCAGGAAAAGGAGAAGTGTGACGTAATGAAGAAAATAACTGATTTATCATCAACAGCCTATTTTCAGTGCTCACTGCGCACGGAGAAGGTTTGTTCATTGTTCACTACACTTGCTCAATATAGGTTAACGATTTCAAATATCAAATTAGAAATTATTAATTCAGGTTTCCCTAATGATATCACCCTTCATAGTCTGTCAGTGGTGACTAAATAATCTTAAAAAGTACATGTAACTCGGAAAAAGTCACATTGGTGCTTGCCGTTTGTAGGTTTCGAGACCGCATACTCATGCATGAGAAGTGGATGTCTTAAACCTCTGTGCCACTACGACATAAGTAATTTATACTGTATGCAAAAGATACTTAGCTACTCTTCAATTAAGATCATAGTCCTCTAATCTTTATACTTAACATAACATAACATTACGCCTTTTATCCCCGAAGGGATAGGAAGAGGTGTACATTATGCCACTGTACAATGTAACACCCACTTTTCACTATTTATGTTATGAGTCCCATGTGGGTGGTCCCATATACCTTGCACAATGTCGCGGAGAACCTAACGGGTAACCGGGGCTCCGGCTCGACGTGCAGGAGAAGGAACGGGGTGGTTTTTAGTCAGTAAGAGTCTGACACTCCCTCCCGCCTCACCCAGGCGGGAGCAGTCATTCTATGATTTTCCGCCCTTAAAAAAAAATACCTTGCACAATTCCAGACTCCGTGCTACTACTGATCAGTCTAATCTAATCTAATCTTTATAATTAAATTTTGTAATTATATGAAATGTTATTAATTGTTACTTCATGTACCACGGCTCTAGTGCGATGATGGCAATAAATGATAAAAAAGAATATTTCTGTACCACCATGTGTCAGTCGCGAAATCTTGAAAAAAAAAATAACCACTTGAGAAATGAGTCAGCATTTCTTTTTTTTTTTAATAGTCAAGTTGTTATCTTTTACTTAAGTTCTGAAAAGGTATAAGTGGATAATTTGGTTCTAAGGTCCGAGATACGCCATATTTCGTTCATATCATAATGATATAACTTTATAGCCACAAAATTGTGAATTAGGTACCTATTAAGGTTTTAATGAATAATTTTGTATGGAACTTATGGCACCGACCTCTTACCTATCAGTGGGTGGGTAACCTATCAGTACCAATAATAGTTATTTTTTGCTTTTTTTTTGCTATTAGTTTTTTGACGTTTCGATAAAATTATTGAATTTGATTAGTTGTAAAATACCGTATTGCTATTCAATTTTAAGTCTTTCACTTAAATGACAGACGTGGTACGATATTTAAGTATAAATCTATTGTAGTACGAATACCACTTAATACATAGCGCTGATGGTCGAAACTCTTACATCCCTTAGAGGCGTCTTTTTTGTTTTGAAAATCTGACTTCGTTCAACTGCATTTCCTTATATCTACCTAATTTTCACTATCGAGTTAAGAACAAAATAAAATCAGGAAACGAATCTTGGTAGAGAGAACCAAATTTATAACGAGTCCTTATCCTCCTCCGTGTCCGCCTCACTCACGTGTCCTTTTATTTACGGGAAAACGTATTAAAATTGAGAAGGCTTTCAGTATTCGGGCGGAAGTAACTTAGTTGAGAGATGGCTTAGAGGTGGTTGTTGAACGATCATTACTTTCTTTACTTAGACATGTACAACATTCACGTTTTTGTTACAGGAAACAGCGAAGGTATTGGCATGGCTTCGATCTCTACCTGTGGACGACAAGTCCATCTCAGAAGAAGTGGATAGACTCATCATTGAACAGACTACCAGTGAATTAAAGTTCTCACCTAGACTATTGTGTAAGTACCTTTTTTATGGAATAAGCCGGTAAACGAGCAGACGGATCACCTAATGGTAAGCAATCGGCGCCGCTTATGGACACCCAAAACACTTTTTTTTTTTTTTAAGTGGGGAAAATCATCGAATGACTGCTCCCGCCTGGGTGAGGCGGGAGGGAGTGTCAGACTCTTACTGACTAAAAACCACCCCATTCCTTCTCCTGCACGTCGAGCCGGAGCCCCGGTTACCCGTTAGGTTCTCCGCGACTCCGAATCGGCATCGGCCCTTGTGGGCCCCATCTGTGGTGGTCTGATGGCTCTTTGAGGCGCGCGCGGAACGCGACGCGCCGTACGCTCGGGTCTGTTTCTGGTCGGACGGGGAGCCACCCATGCTCGCCGTCCGCAGGCCCGCGCTTACGGTGGCCGGAGATCGTCCCGCGATCCCCGACGCCCGGTGTGTCCTTCGCGATGGCTGGGTTGCGAGGAGGCAGCGCTTCGCTGCCTCACGCGTCCCGCCTCCTCCTTAGCTAACCCAAAACACTAGAGGTGTTAGAAGTGCGTTACCGGCGTTTTGATAATTAGGAATTCAAGGATATTTTGGAATTCAGGGATTGGGGAGATAGGAGAGAGGGGTAATTGGGCATGAAACACAACGCAAGCGTTACTTCACGTCCGTTTTCTGTGAGGCCGTGGATCACTCCGGTCGAGTGGGCCCATTCGTGCTGAAGCATGGCTTTCCCACACCTATGAATGAAGAAGTTATCAACATCATCATCAGCTAGACTCCGTTTACTGGACATCATACTCAACAGCCCGTGATAATCCAGTGTTAGACGACGGGCCTCTTCTATACCTAATATATTATTACAATCAGGGGTTGCTATAGATTCTATGCTTTGCAGACGAGTAGGTACTAAATCGCAGTTTGAAAAATCTAGACATATCAAAAAACTCTGCTCCCTTTGTTAAATATGCACAAGTTAAATATCCGATTAAGAAAATGGTAGAATCTGGGGTAGCTTGATGTACTGAATGCCTGTACCATCTTGAACATGACCGAAACAAACAAAAATATTTACCATGTATCTATATTAGTACGTACATACATAATGTGCGGGCGTGTAATCAATTGAAGCCGTCTCCGACCTCTTTATAAAAACCGTGGCGATCGCAATGTCCTTGTCGCTTGACCAATCCTCATCATTTTCAATTCCACCAACTGTTTAATTCACTTCTGACAGTTTGCATATGTCAAATGTCAATTAGTAACGTTTTGTTTGGGGTTAAACATTACATTGGGGCGATGTCAACCGCCTCGTGTGTTATGTTTTCCTGGTACTTCTAATTGCTTAGTTATTTGTTTTGGTATTCTTGTTTGTTTGACGGACTTCGTTTCTTGGTGAGTAAAATGGGGTAAATAGGGATCGAAAGGTGAATAGAGACAGATGAGGGGTGAATTTATATATTTTAGGGGGGAAATTTTTCATATTCACCCCTCCTCTGTCCCTATTCACATCTCGATCCCTATTCACCCCCATTTTACCGTTATTAGAAGTTTTCGAACTGACTGCCTCGATGATTGAAGTGGTTATAAGCGCGATTGCTGTGCTGAGCAATGGATTTCGGATTTTGAGGATCGCGCAGCAGAACAATCTTCATTATTCAAATATATTCGTATGTATTTATAGATTTGACAAAATCAGTCACCGCTACTATTTATTATCATTTCCTTGTCCACAGTTTCCGATAAAACCGCAGTGAAGGCGTTCTGGGTTGCTTTAATAGTGAACCTCACTCGAGAGTTTTGTGGTTGCATAGCTGTCCTGGTCTACGCGAGCCACATCTTCGCTGAAGCTGGCAAAGACCCAAGCACAAGCATAGCGTTATCACCAAATAAGCAATCAATTCTGCTCGCTGTTGTCCAAATCATTGGGTCGTTTTTGGCCTGTCAGCTTGTTGACAGAGCTGGACGAAAGGTAAGATATTATTTTAGTCATAATATAAAAACTAAAAACATACCAGAAGTTTAGAACCTCATCCTTCTTTTGAAGGCGATTGAAAGTGACTGCATTTGTCTGCTTATTGGTACCTCAAAAACTGCGCAACCGATTTCATTAATTCTTACAGAGTACCCACATGATTAAATTATGGTTTTACGTAAGAGGAAACCATACGAATTAGACTTGCTCTTCATATCCGAGTTATATCAACAACAAACTCAAAACGACAATGTAGTAAGAGTTTAAGAATTTCATTTAGCTATTTGGCATGAAATCGAACCTCGTGCCAATTAGACGTGCGATACAATATAAAATATGTTTTACACGTGAGACGGGTGTTTCATAATATCTAGTCTAGTCACTAAGTAGTTTACTATATGTAAGAACATAGTTTTATTAAGTTCATTCATATCGGAAGATATTTGTAGGTCAACTTCTGTATTAGTCTCATTACAATAGTTACTGTTAAGAACAATGGGTACATTGGATGCTGTGTGTAACGCAGCGTACAAATGTAATTCTACTGCACGGTTGGCGCGGTGCCTGGGTATCTGGCTGCCGCTTAACGTGTAGCGTTTCAATACTCGCACGAAGCAAAATCTTTGTGTGATTTCGAATTGTTGTTTCGGGTCTGGGTGTCATGTGAATAGCATAGGGTAACGTTTAAAAAATATATTCTTTACTAAAATCACCATTACAAGTTTGGAGTTTAAAGTGTTTAATGGTCAGTGCTTCGGACTAGTTCAGAGCGCACGTTTATCGGTCCTATTTTTCATACGAACTTCCACAATAGTTGTTATAAGTATCGATTTATCTAATAGGAAAGTAAAATACACATTTTAAGCCATAAGACATGTCGCGGAGAACCTAACGGGTAACCAGGGCTCCGGCTCGACGTGCAGGAGAAGGAACGGGGTGGTTTTTAGTCAGTAAGAGTCTGACACTCCCTCCCGCCTCAATCAGGCGAGAGCAATCATTCGATGATTTTCCCCCATTAAAAAAGCCATAAGACATTCGTCATAAATATGTTATCAGAAACATACCAAGCAATAACTAGGTACTTCAAAAGGCTAGGCAAATAAATAATTAGGCAATAAATAGAACAAAATTTGTTAGTAATTACGAAACCTTCTTCAGCAGTGGCCACTTATAGGCTGTTGATGATAAGGTACGAAGCATCTAGTAAACAATAAATACCAGAAATAATGAGACCACAATAAGGCTCTACTTAACTAACTAGACGTGGAAATTGCCATACATAGAATTAATTACCGCTTATGTAAGTTAACCGTTCATGTAGACAACAGCATGTCAACCTACACAAACTTATCAATTATTTCATTGGATTTTAGTGTTTATAACAAAACAACAAAGTTGATAATGGAATAGAGATAAGGTATAGGTTTTCCTGCTGGCGTCTGTGCCTATTGTTATATCTGTACCTCTAGAGGTCTTGTAACATATAATTTCATCTAATTAGTAACAATTATTTAGGGATTTCTGTTTTATCGTCACCGTGGCTTAGGTATAGAGGTATTATTTCAGTTAGGTACTCGTTATGGTACGATTGACGCAGTCTCTTTTAATTAGGCTAAAATTTTCCGTTGGCAATGCCGGAGAAAATTGACATAATGACGTGAAACAAAAATGCTCTTGGAAATCGTGGGCAGAGGCGCACATTGGACATAATGTCCTATAACATATATGTGCAATGTGCAGAAAAGCAGGTCCTAACATGCTTTTCGCTACTGAGTTTTCGATTTACAATAACGAGAATTCGGTAGCCAAATCTTTTTTTAAATTTAATGGCCGTATAGGCTGGCATTTGGCCTCCAATCAGCCCTAGGTACTTGGCGCGAAAACCATCATTATGTTGTTATAGGTATTCGAACTTTATGTAAAGGAAGCCTTGGGTTACCGCATTTGCTATGAAAAGATTGTTATTCAAGTGTATATTCAACTTCTTTTCTTCTCCTTCCAGCCTCTCCTAGCAGTAACAAGCGCAGTAGCTGGGTTCAGCATGTGTCTACTAGGAGTCTGGTTCTACCTTCAAAGCATAGACGTGGCTTTGCCCGGCTGGGTTCCAATCGTCGCGTTATGTGTGTGCATATTCTCCGACGCCTCCGGTCTACAACCCCTACCGTTTGTCATCATGACTGAGATGTTTAACTTCCAGGTAATGTAACTTTCTTTGATTTTATGTTAGCCTAGTAGTTTTTGTTGAACAATCTGTTGCAAACGCGACTAATGCACAAAAGAGCTGCAATTCTTGTTTCGGGCAGCTTTATTAAGTTTTTCTTACCTCGCTAAAAAGTAATTTAAACAGGAACTTTTTAATTTAGGTAAACGAGTTACTTACCTAATTGGCGTCCTAATTCTTGATAGCAATCCGTCTACCAGGCAATCTTGAGTTCGTCATCTCATACGGATAACTAATATCATCGTTATTTGAAATCGACAATAAATAAAACCGTAAATATTGGCTCCTATGTACTTATTTAATTTTACATTTTTTTCTTCCAGCTCCGAGGCACAGTAGCAACCCTCATCATGGCAATATCCTTAGGCACAGACTTCGCTCTACTCAAACTCTTCGCTCCACTTAACGTCTGGATTGGATACCATTCAACATTCTGGATGTTCAGCTTCATCTGCCTGTCAAACGTATTCTACCTCATCTTCTGCGTTCCAGAAACCAAAATGAGAAGTTTAGAAGACATTTACGCTGACCTAGAGGGGAGAAAGCGAAGAAAGAAAGAAGATTGTGTAGTTGAAACGAATCACGTGTGAATTATGGTTCCTAGACTCTTGTGTTCCCGCGTAAAAAATGGCGCGATTTTGTTTGTTTTCAAAATGGCCGCTGATTAACTTAATTATTGTCTATGATAATATATGACTTTTTAAAGGACAGAAAGGTAGCTATTTGTTAGAAATATGTTAGTTTTAAGACTAGTAGTGGTAGGTTATTCTAGTATCTTAATTTTGTAGTTAAAGCCATGAAAGACAACTTATGTCGCAATGCTGAAACGCCACTCAATTTTAAGTCGCGCTCGAGTACAGTTACACTACAAACTCTTTGTAAAATGACAGAGGGCACGATATTTCAGTACAACGTAACACTGAGTAGCCTTTCAGTATTCCGGCGTTAAAGTAATAGTTTGAACACGAAAAATAGAAATTGATAGTAGATATTTTATACATAGCATCATTGTCCATTGTAAATAAAAATAAGAGAAAAATCGTAGAGATTCAGTATTAAATATGTTGGTTTAGATATCTCGATTTTGAAAGAATCTCTGTTCAAACGATCAATTCTATATCATTCCATGTTGCCATATAAAATAATAGCTATAACAACAATTAAGAATACTGGTCACATTGTCTATTTCTAGTCACCGGTATTTTATACATGCTCAAACCCAAGTGTAGTGTTGTTATAATTTTGGCTATAATTTTCATTTTTTACAAACTAAATAGACAATGTTGCCTGCAGTAAAATAGTGTACAGATAATAAAATTAATGCAGATTATTTATAGGAGTTCTATAGGATGAATAGCCAATTATTCTAATTGCTTTAGTTCTAAGTTAGTAAATATTTTTGTACATGTAGGTATGATAGGACTAGGATTTTGTATAAGATCTTTTAATTAAATCAGTTTTAAGTGTATGGCAAAGACTGTGCCTGTAAAATGACAACTTTAAAATAATTAATTGAAAAACCGATTTTTTTCTGTCTACGTTACAAAATAGCATTCGATAATATTATGAATATAACTTATTTACTTTGAAAAATAATATTACATGTAAAACGTAGATAAGTTATATTTTCTTTTAAATCTACTGGTAAAGGTAGTTACAGAATAATATCGGTTTAATTTAAATAAAGATTTGTTGAAGACAAAACAAATAAAAAATGTCTTAACCTGAACCTATTTTTTTTATTTAACCTTTTTAACTGACTTCAAAAAAATGCAGTTGGCCTGACCTGTTTGTGTATGTTTGTGCGCGAATATCTTGCGATTGGTTGAACCTATTCTGATGAGAAAAATGTTTGTTACAATTAGGTTTTATTTAATTAATTAATCGACTTCAAAAAGGAGGGAGTTGGAGAGGGAATCGGTTGTTTAAGACGTAGTTTATAAAGTAATCAATACTGACTACATAGTATAAAAAAGTCGCTATCCGCCGTCTCTCTGTCCCTATGTATGCAGATCAGAACTACGCAACAAATTGTGTATATATGTCGTGGTGGCCCGGAGGTTTAAGACGCCCGCTTCTCATGACTTCTGGTTCGAAACCTACCAACGGCAAGTACCAATGTGACTTTTTCTGAGTTACATGTACTTTCTAATATTATTTAGACACCACTGACAAACGGTGAAGGAAAACATCGTGAGGAAACCTGGACTTATAATTTCTAATTATAAGTTTGAAATCGCCAACCCGCATTGAGCAAGCGTGGTGATTAATGCTCAAACCTTCTCTGTGTGAGAAGAGGCTTTGCTCAGCAGTGGGCATTTATAGGCTGTTGATGATGAACAAATTTTGATATGTATAATACATGCATATTGCACCCGTGCGAAGCCGGGGCGGGTCGCTAGTTATTATATTATTTTTATAGGTCGGTAAAAGGAATATAGTTAATAGGGGAGTAAGAATAGCATACAAATAAAACAAAAATGCCAGTTTTAGAAGATTTACTTATCATAATAAATAACCAGCTTAGTTTACAAAAGCATTATTTTTTTACATATTTTTTCATCGTTTTATTAAAAAATATCGTTCCATCTCGAGTGTAACGTACGTTATTGCCAGTTTACGTGTTTGTATGATTTTTATTTAATAATAATAATTAAGAAATATTTTTTACTTCGTCCAATTTCTGGTATTTTTACAGAGTACCCATAATTTTGGCTACATCGACGATTTTCTAACACTAATAAACGTCAACATAGGAATTTATATAAAAAGAAGTATTTTAAAACCGTCATAGGTATTACTCGTTCGATACTTATAAAAAAGACTAGCCGAGTACAACATTATTTAAAACTATATTTTTATACATAAATCAGAGGCCTTAGTACGAGTTTGATTTACGTTTAAAGTAATCGTAACGAGTACGCGTTCGGCGCTGTGATTGGTTGGTTTATTGGCGCCGGCCAATCAGAGCGCAGAACGCGTACTCGTTTCGAATACTTTGAACGTGAAACAAACTCGTACTAAGGCCTCTGTCCGTCCATTAAAACGTAACGAGTTGAAACTCTTCAAAATTTTGTTAAAAAACAACTTACGAATGTAACTTTTGAGTATAAGTACTTATAATTACCTTAAAATTTAATGATACTAATTAGCAACTTATGTTTTAGTCACTAAGGTTTAAAATTGCTTGTTTTGTTTTCCAAAATATTAAAAAATAGTTACGTCATAATGGAGGGATTTTCTATACTTGGTGTGCTTAAGGCCTACTTTAACGCCCATACAAAAAGTGGGTAGACAGAATTCTTAGCACAAGTATTTAAATTGGAAGTAATTTTGTATGAAATAATATAACTAGTATTCTGACACACATTGGTTTTCGAACCATAAAACATATTACATATTTTGGTCACAATTTTGAAAAATCTTGACAGAAAGCGACCCACTCAAAGAAAGGATTTGTACACAAGTTAATATATTTCTATTACAAACTTTAAGAAGTTCAACTATCATATTTTATCGTTGCAGTGCATTTTGACATTACTGTAAAACGGGGTGAATAGAATTCGAGGGGTGAATAGATACAGAAAAGGGGTGAATAAATGTTGGGAAAATAATAGTCTAACACTTATCCACCTCATTCCCCGTTTTCCTGTACTTTGAGTAAGTCGCTTGGCATAACTGTCAAAATAATCAACCAACTAGATTAACTAAAGTCAGTGGCCAGCTCTTATTGATTAATTTTGAAAATAGTCACATCACTTTAGAACATTTCAATGATTTTAATGAACAAGTCAGTCTATTTATATAGCCATTCGAAATTACAAAAAAAATAGAAGTAATTTCGTCTTTCAAATAAAAAAATAACATGAGAACGTTTCCCAAAATGAAAGATTTACGATACTAAGAGCTTGTTCAACTATTTTAAATTTAAAACATTCCCTTACACTAGGATTTTTTCCTGTGTAGTGTGTGCGTTTACAAACATATAAGTTTACATACACATGACACCCAGACCCGGAATAACAATTTGTGGATAACACAAAGAGTTGTTCCGTGCCGGAATCAAACTAGCGACATGTTGCGCGGCAGCCGATTGCTCAGCTACCGCACCAACTATGTAGTCATGTGTAGTCAATTATTCGTTAATTTTATTAATGACAGATAATTTGACGTATCTTCCATATGACATATGTCAAACTATGAGTATGTCTTATAAATTCTTCACTCACTCGGTTATAGACCTTATTTTTGATGTTTAGATACTACTTTTGTACGAACAAATTTTGTTAATACTCTAGTAGATTTTTAACAAAACTTATTTGATGCCGTAAAACGATGAAAATGTATATTAGGGATTTGTTCTAGTATCTATTCACCTCGTTCTATCGCAGTAGTTAAACAAGCCCTTAATATAGCAATGAAAAGTTATAACTATCCTCACAGTAATACAACGACTCCGATTTAATGATATGCCCTTATTTCATACAAAACATGAAAATATTTAGAATTTCGAACGCGATTTCATTATAAACACGATACGACAAGACATATAGTTTGCATACGACACGACATACCGATTCACGACATAAGACTTACGACAAAAACGCAGTGCTAATTTTTTGTAATATTTTCCATTGATTCGCATACTTTTTTTAATAAAAATATTATGTAGAACACACATCCAGTATGTTCGAATAGTGTTATAATTCAACATTGTTTTATTGTCATATTAACCTTTACAATTGAATTTTTGGTGATTTTTAGACACAAAAAGGTACAAAAAAATTCCAGAGTAAAGTCAATTGCTTGAGAATTCAAAGAAATTGTTCGGTCTGACAAAATTATTTTATTATTCTGTTCAATAGACAAAATTCTAATTTACATGAAGAAGACACAATACAGTTGGAACATTTTTGTTTATATTCTCTGTATGTGTTTTTTATAACACTATCCGAACGAAGACACATAGATATTTAAGCCAAGTTAAGTCTAATTGGTGTTCCATACAATTATTGCGATGCGACACATCCAACCAACATATTTAAAAACAATGATTCGAAAAGCGTTTTACGCAACGTTACCTGACGTCATCAATTTTCCCATAATAATAATAAAGACCAATTATTATTTAATAAAACAAGAAATAACAAAACGCGAATACAACAAACAAAGCACTGAGATCGTGACAAAAAAAATAAACAAAAAAAATGTTATTGTTTTTTTTTAAACACGCAACATACAGCCCGCGAATGTGACGTGATTCTGCATAATTTGGGCCGTGGTTCAGACGGGGGACTGAATTAACAACTTCAAAAACAAAATTTAATGTCATAAACGCTAGTCAAATAGAAACTTCATGTATGGGATTGACATTAATATAAGTCAACCGGTAATCTTGGTCGTATTCAGAGATTTTAATTTATTTTTAATCCAAATTACTGTATTTCAAAACCAGTGCTAAGATTTACACTATAGTAACTAGCATACGTATAAATTAACTAAAAATCGCAGGTTACTTACGTGAATATACTGAAAAAAGTTTTATTAGTTTCGAACCACAGAGGGGTTCTTCCTCATGAGCAACGTGCGCGGTCGCGGCAATGTCGCGCGCTCTACTCAGCCTTCGCTCTGTTCAACTAAGTTAACTAAAAATCGCGATGACCACTAACTAAATAGTAGACATCGCCGCGACCGCGCACGCTGCGCCCTCTGTTTCGAAACTAGTAGACCATTTCTCAGTATATTCACGTGAGTAACCCGCGATTTTTATTTAATGAAGTATGTCTCACGATAGTCATTATAAAAACATAGTATACGCCTGAGAGCCACGGCCCAATCAATAAATTTCATATCTACCTACATTTTGGGAGATTAACATACACTTGAGTGATACATAAAAATAATTTATTTCACATCAACACATATCCATTTAATTAAACAACATGTACCAAGTAAGTTTTCATTCATTAAAAAGGACACACGACCAACTACACTTTGCTTAATTTTCAACCGTAAGTCCATAAGTATAAGGTTGATATTACAACGTACTTTATATAAAAGGGATAAAGATTTATTTCTTAATGTTTAAAGTTTTCTGTTTGGTTGTAAAAAATAATTTATTTTTCTATTTTATTCTTTATTTGTGATGATGATGATAAAATAACGTTTCTATTCTGCTAATCCACTTAAATCTAATCTCAATTCTAGATTTTCATAAGATTTGTCAACGAGTACGTACTATAAAATTTTAGGCCGAAAATATAACAGTATGTAACTGGCCTTAAAACTTGAACGAAAATCAAGACTAATTTAGGTTTAACAAGAGACCGTCTCAGTAACTCCATCTCTCGGTAGACATGGTTACTAGAGACAAAATTTTAATATAGGAAGTTACACAGGGTAGAAACAGAGGCCTTAGTGCGTTTGTTTTAAGTTTAAAGTATTCGTAACGAGTACGCGTCCAGCGCTGTGATTGGTTGGTTCATTGGCGCCGGCCAATCAGAGTGCCGAATGCGAACTCGTTTCGAATACTTTAAACGTAAATCAAACTCGTACTAAGGCCTCAGAACGCTCTCGGAAAACGCCGACAGGTGATGGTCAAAAACAAGGTTAATTTTCATTAAAAATAATGAATTAAATGTTTTTTTTTTATGTAATAATAGTTGTAATCACTACTGTCGTGGTGGCCCGGAGGTTGAAGACGCCTGTTTCTCAAGCACGTGCGGATTCGAAACCTATCAACGGCAAGTACCAATGCGACTTTTTCCGAATTATATGCACTTTCTAAGATTATTTAGACACCACTGACAAACGGTGAAGGAAAAAGCCGTGAGGAAACCTGGGCTTGTAATTTCTAATTATAAGTTTGTAATCACCAACCCGCATTGAGCAAGCGTGGTGATTAATGCTCTAACCTTCTCCATGTGAGAAGAGGCTTTGCTCAACAGTGGGCATTTATAAGCTGATGACGATGATGATGACGAGTTGTAATCAACTGCCCAACGATTATGCTGCTTGAATTTTTTAAAACAATTTCCTTTTGTCAGCATTTCGGGAGCGGTTCGTTAACACCCTGTATTAAAATATCTATAGTTACCAAATCTACTAATAAAAGGTTATTGAGACTAGCCGTAAGTTTTCTTAATGAATATTATTATATAATTATGTTTTACTTCTTACTCACGTAACTGTCTGATGCAGTAACTCGACTAGCTTCACGTTGGCGCGCAATGGAGCATGAATGTGGGCCCCTAGTGTAGCTTGAAACTAGTTGAGTTACCTAGTCAAAGAGTTAGTAAGTCATAAAACATAATTGTTGAGTTCTAATTTATTCATAGATTATTTTTACAACCGCACAGATCTAAACACAGCCAAGTGGTAGTACATAATTTGAAAAAACTACATTAATTTAGATATTTAGACGATCACGCTTCATATATCTTTTAACTAACTACATATTTTGATACCTAACTTCAATAAGCTAGGCCTAAAGATGAGATATTTTAGGTATTGGCCTGTAATCGACAGATCGGAGACTACCGTTGTCACCTTAATGCAAGTTTCATTTACGTTAACGCGATCGTAACGCATTTAGCCCGCTGATTGGTTGGCTAACTTGGAGCTGGCCAATCAGAGAGTCGGACGTTATAAACGTCATCGCGTTAACATAAATCAAACTCACAATGGCTAACGCAGTAAGATCTGATTGTCCAATCACTGTAGCTGTCAAAAATTGAATGATTAATAGTTTGACGCTATTGGTCAATCAGAACTCAATCTACACTAGCGCTATCTACTGATGGCAACTGTAGCTTTTATTGACGTTATAAAAATACTTTGTGGTTTCTATTGTTCAGTTGATTTTTTTATAATTTGATCCTTAATTAACAACTTCTATAGACTTCTTAGCGTATAACAATTTTAATTATATAATTTGTCTATTATATAATTACGATTAAAATTTACAAGACTTAATTTTATACTTATAGTAAATGATTATGAGTTTAGTCAACTCGAATGACGTTTAGTTATCGATTAATTATTATTACTCGATTAATCGTTTTAGTCATAGAATTGACTCTAAACGGATTTTAGAATATTTTTACCTACTCCTAAAGATTATACGCTAAAAATATATTGTCAATAAATGAGAATTGTTCAAGGATTTTTGTTCCAAGTTTTTTATAATCTGAATTCTGTTGTTCCCGGTGTATGAAAACCCATAACATAATGTACCTAAATGCTGCTTATGAATATGAGCCCCAAGCGTAGCTTGAAATTAGTTGAGTTCCGTTGTCAAACAGCAACATGAGTGAACTGCTAAAAATATGTAATTGATTTAGGTTAAAAGTCGTTCGTCTTTGTCGGTTAAAGACCAATACCTAAGAGCGTGATCGTGTATAAACATTTACCTTTTACTGTAGTACTTCGCTTGGTAGCATTCATACAACTTAATTCTTACCAGTCAGGCATCTGTCGCTATACTTTCTTGTGGGACAACTGGCTCTACTGACTCTTTCTTCTCCTTCTTCTCTTCTTCTCTCACTTCTTCCACTTTCTCCTTCTCTTCTCTGCTTTCGGAAGGTTTGGAGTCGGTGGAGATTGAGCTGGAGGTTAGACTGTTCGGTTGGGATGACTCTTTGCTTTGTGGCTCCTGAGAACTGCGATTTTCTGGCTGTTTTTCTTTTGAATCTGTGGAATGGAGGAAGGTAATCATATTTTTAATAGAGAAGAACTGTTGAAGGTGTTTCGAAAAACTGTCTATAGTATTCAAACGTCAGTATGAAGCGCGAATTATGATATTGACAACTTACACGTCAAAGTCAAAGTCAAAATCATTTATGTCAATTAGGCCAGAATGGCACTTTTGAACGTCTTGCTTTTACTAAATAATAGTTCAAGTTTTTCGAAGTAACACCTTTAAGATGTGTATAATGAACATGATACTGTCGTATTCTACTATAATCTATGGATTTCTAAAACTATATGGCATAAGCTATAACATGAAAAATACACCTACATGACCTTTCCTACCAATCTACATATTAACTACAAAGAGAAACAATACTAACAGTAAAATAAAAATAGGTTCAACTTAAAATGGGATCTTCTATCCCGAAGTAATTCCTCCGTAAGCCGCCACCAAACTATTTCTATTGCATGCGAGAATGAAGCCACGCTTGCAACGACAACTTCGCCCAGAGCAAATCTTTACCAGAAAAATGAGTAATTAAAAAATGAATTGGGACTGCCTCGTTGGCCGGGCAAAGTATTACTGAGTCTTTTTCATAAAATTCTCAGTAGTAGCACGGAGGCTGGAATTGTGCCCGGTATATGGCAATAGGCTCACCCCCTATTATATGGGACTCGTAACATAAATAGTGAAACGAGGGTGTTACATTGTGCAGTGGCATTATGTGCACCTTTTCTTACCCCTTCGGGGATAAAACGCGTGATGTTATGTCATATTAATTGGGTATAATGACTTCATTTATGGATGAAGGCTGTATTTCGTTGCAGGAATTTCAATTATTATTTCCTTTTTAAAATTAACAGCCTTGACGTTCCATAGAAGGACTATAGGCCTCCTCTCCATAAGAAAGGTTTGTCATAACCGATTGCCATACAAGGAAAAATCATGAACAAATCTAATGTTCGATTGTAAAGATACTATGTATATCTTCCTATTTTTCTTCCAATTGGGTAGTTTGTATCAAAATTAAAACTCTAATTAGTCCGTCAGTTAGATAATGAAAACATATTAGACACGTATCTTTTTATTTTCTCGTATTAATTTGCAATACTTAGATAAAATGGCGCTAAGTTTAGGAGTGGGAGGTCGTTACGTCATAACGTGCTTCAAAATGTGGCACGCTGTGACGTCACTCTATATTTCAAATTAATTTATCGTCGAAAGTATTTAATTTTGTGAGAAAAGAAAAAATATGTGTCTAAAGTTTTAAATTAATCTACCAGACGGGACGGACATTAGACTAAAATTTAGGAAACTACCCTATTGGATAGGCTAAAAACTCAGTCATACGCGAATAAAATTATAACAGCAATCAGGGTGGCTCAATGCAGTCAAAAAGAAACTTGCGACTAAATCGCCCGCGTTTAATCGTGCAATCTTCAGACCGAAAAGGTTTATTAGTAATCAAAAAAGGGCCTAAAGTTGCTTGTAATAAGAGATTACATATTCGAATATAAGACTCACCAGCCCCATGTGTCGCTGGCCAGGGTTTCCTCACGAACATGTTCTCCACGATCCTGTCTATGTTGTCCTTTTCAGATGAATTCGCTGGCCTGCTGGAAAATAAATATATACAGTTAATGTTAAGTGCGACTGCCGGGCAAAGTTTGATTCCCGGGTCGGGCAAAGTATTACTGGGTTTTTATTTCAATCTCAGTAGTAGCATGGAGTCTGGAATTGTGTCCGGTATATGACTTATCCCCTATTACATGAGACTCATAACATAAATTGTGAAAAGTGGGTGTTACATTTTACATTGTACAGTGGCATAATGTGCACGTCTGCCTATCCTTTCGGGGATAAAAGGCGTGATGTTATGTTATAATAACTATCGTAAGACATCTCGTTTCAGTATATGCACGTGAATAACCCGCGACTTTTAGTTAATATAATAAATATATTTAGGATCCACTAAAACTTCTTTTAACAGTTCCACTGAAGTAATATCAAATACATTTTTTTAATTGCAGGGCTTACAGAAACCTGACCAAAGCTCACCATAGCTTTCCCAGTCAGGACTCTTAGAGTCCTGACTGGGAAAGCTGGTTAGAAGATTATGAATGGTTACAATACGAGTACTCTTTTATAGGGGCATTAAGATCCTATGTAGGAAATGATAAGAAACCAAGTATTATGTATAACATAACATCACGCCTTTTATCCCCGAAGGGGTAGGCAGAGGTGCACAAAATACAACAAAAAAAAGTAACACCCACTTTTCACTATTTATGTTATGAGTCCCATGTAATAGGGGGTGAGCCTATTGCCATATACCGGGCACAGTTCCAGGCTCCGTGCTACCACTGAGAATTTTTTAAAAACCCAGTAATACTTTGCCCGACCCGGGATATGTATAATTATTATGTATCAGTACCTGTCCGCATGGTGCGGGCTGACGATGGGTATGGCGGCGGTGGGACGTCGCTGCGCGCGCGCGCTGTGGGCCGCCTCCTGCTCCGCGCAGTTGTAGTACGTCACTCCGCCCGCCTACAGACATACGTTACATGTTATAAAGTCGCTTAAGTCATTACGTTCCCGTGGCAAAACAATCCAATAACAAGAGAATCGAAATTAACCTAAAAAAACATTCATCAACTCTGAAAATTATAGTACAGTGAAACTTGGTTAAGTGGGACCTGGATAAGTGAGAAACCTCCATAACTGGAACTCAAGCTGAGGTCCCAACACCTTACCACTGAATTACCTCTGTTAGTGGGACGAGGTAAACCTCTATATCTGGGATTTGTTCTTTCGATTTATCATCATAGTTACCTCTATAACTAAGACAGCGAGTACATTTTATATGCATAAACCTCTGTATCTGAGATATCATTCTTTGTTTACTCATTCTTATTCTACCCACAAATTCCACATGTAATTCCAAGTCCACCTTTATTAATGGAACCCTCTGTAAATGAGACAGATATTTATTTATACCTCTATATCTGAGACACTGGGTAAGTGGAATACCTCTATAAGTGAAACGACTTTGCAGGTCCCTTGATGTCTCACTTAACCAGGTTTCACTGTAGTTACCAATGACACTTGGATCGTTACTAGACGCGACTCAAAAACTGCGCGGTCGTTATTCAAATTCGCTTCGTCATTCTTGCACTACTATTGGTTCGAAGTCGCTTTCGACTTTAGTTTTTCACGTATATTTTTTACTTGTTTGATATCACAAAACAGTTGCTGTACATACAAGACTCAAGCATTGCACTCATTCTATACAAAAATTTGTCAGAATGAAGAATGTACTTACATAATTATGGTGCGGCGTGTACATTTGATGCTGATATGTGGCGTGAGGCGGGGCGTGAGGGGCGTGGGGCGGGGCGTGAGTGCCCGCCGGGAACATCGCACCACCGAACACTGCGCCACTGTTGCTTTGCTGTAAGCAAGATAAAAAGTAATTATTATAACCGTTAAAATCTTCATAATAGTCACTACTGTGTGTTAGGATATTGGGGAAGGGGAGGGGGGTAATTGGGCCTCCGGTAATCTCACTCACACGACGAAAGCGTGTCTTCACGTCGGTTTTCTGTGAGGAAATCCTACGCAAACGGCGGACACTAGGAACCAATATGGCGTTGAACGTAGCCACAAAAATTGTCTTTATAACTATTTATAATTGTATTTTATTGAACTTACTTGCATATACTGAGCGGGCATCATGGCAGGTGGGGCGTATCCTTGTGCTGGTTGTATTTGACCTACGGAACATAAAATTTGTAATACATGTACATATTATAAACAAAAAAACACTACCAAAGTTTCAAAAACTCGAAGCCTATAAGTACCAATGTGACTTTTTCCTAGTTATATGTACTTTCTAAGATTACCTAGACACCACTGACAAGCGGTGAAGGAAAACATCGTGAGGAAACCTGGACCTATAATTTCTATGTATAAGTTTGAAATTGCCAACCCGCATTGAGCTAGCGAGGTGATTAATGCTCAAACGTCCTCCACGTGAGAAGAGGCTTTGCTTAGCAGTGGGCATTTTCAGGCTGTCGATATTGATGTTAACTTCAAAAATATATTTTTGTTTAACATTCTAATGTCCGTTTTCACCAACTCCCATAAAATTTTAAGCAATCCGCAAGGTAGTATATCTAAGGGATATATTCTATACCTGAGATAAGTGACATTTAACGTCATTTTGACCAACCTATAAGTGACACCTAACAGTACAAGTAAGGGGTTAGTTTTTTTTTAAACATAGCCCGACACTGGGATTTACTCCTGTATCGTGAGTGAGTTTACAAACATACAATATCACACACCCAGATCCGAAACAGTTTGTAGATTAAGTTGCTTCGTGCGGGAATCTAACCCGATACACGTTGGACGGCAGCCAGTTGCCCAGTTACCGTGCCAAGTGTGCAGTCATTTGCTACGTCAAATCTCTTAGTTAAGAGATGGTTTAGGGGTGGTTGATGAAAACGGCCATAAGTTATTTGAAGATAATAAGTAAGAAGTATACGTACCCATAGAATGTGTGGCGGGCAAGTTATGCATGTTGTGGTGTGGGTGCGGGACTGGCGCCAGCGGCGGCTGCTCCAGCAGACCCAGGCGGACCTGCGCCACGGACTAGGTTAGCACTCCACTATACACTCGTACTTACAGAACCTCACGCCTGTCTCCCAATTGGGTAGTTTCCAGGGTATCAAAATTGAAAATCTAATTAGTCCGTCAGTTAGATAATGAAAAAATATTAGACATATATTTTTTTTCTCATATTAATTTGCAATACTTAGATAAAATAGCGCTAAGTTTAGGAGTGGGAGGTCGTTACGTCACAACGTGCTACAAAATGTGGCACGCTGTGACGTCACACGATATTTCAAATTAATATATCGTCGTTAGTATTTAATTTTGTGAGAAAAGAAAAAATACGTGCCTAAAGATTTAAATTAATCTACCAGACGGATATGAAAATAAAATTTAGGAAACTACCCTATTGCTACGATTCTTATATAGGTACCTCTTTCGCTTCATCAACAATCAGTATTTTCATGCGTGCTCGTCGGTTAAGGGTACTTTTAATTTGGCCTTTCTTCAATATATCGCCAATCTGGTCGATAGGTGGGTATATCACACTTTTTTTAACCGACTTCCCAAAAAGTAGGAGGTTCTCAATTCGACCTGTATGTTTTTGTTTCTATTTTTGCACAATAACAATCACAAAACATAAATTATCCACTGTAATATAGTAACTCATGAGAACTGTTAGAGAAAAACTCAACCGGTTTCAAGTTACACCGGGACTGTTATGTGCAGTGTTCACGAGAACAAGCCGTATATTTAAATTACTTATAATATAATTCATAGATTATTCTAAATAGTCAAATTCATTACAATTTCATCATAAAAAGTTGAAAGCAGATAATCAACAAAGAAATTTAGACGATGACGTCACTTATTCCTTACACCTTTCGACCATTCTCCATAATTACTAGTACCCTGATACCATGTTCCTTTTTAACCAAGCAAAGCTAGTTACAAAGAAATCCCCTTCAACAAGTAAGCACAGTATCCGCTACCTGTTGTGCGTGCTGTGCATGCGGCGGCGGGGGGGGCAGCGCGTGCGCGGGGGGGGACCCGCGCCCCACCAGCACCTGCTGGGGGAGGGGGGATTATACTACATGCTAATAGACCAAACTCAATGACCTGTTTGTCGTATCGATAGATATGTCTACTAGAGTTTTATCTACTTTTGTTTGGAATTAAAATGAAATCATTTACATTTCTCAAAACAAATTAGCAACTACAGCGACGATAGTGAACACCTATAAGGCCAGGGGGATTTATTTTTCTTTTTATTTTTTTCTTTAAACAAACGTACCCCACACTAGAATTTTCTCATGTGTCGTGGGTGTGTTTACAAAGATACAATATCACATACACATGACACCCAGACCCGAAACAATAATTTGTAGATCGCACAAAGTGTTGTTCCACGACCGCAACCGCGACACGTTGCGCGGCAGCCAGTGTTGCCTAGTCACTGCACCAACCGTGTACTGAATCAAGTCAAAGGTGACGATTAACCTCTCGCGTGTTTCTCGTACACACGGGTGTTCGAGAGAGCTGAGTGCCCATCATATTTGATTGAACAGAATAGTTAATTCGTGTTTCTATTAAAATATTTACCAGTGTGTACGAGAAACGCGCACCGATTGGATATTTTTTCTGTAACGTATATTTTCAAGTTTGCAACCCGTTCTTTATTTCATTGAACAGAATAGTTAATTCGTTTCAATTAAAATATTTATCAGTGTGTACGAGAACGCGCGTTTACCCGTGGCGCGCGAGAGGTTAAAAGTACGTTTTAGAGGGCATTCGGTAATGTGTTTGTGAGATCACACGGTGAAACGCAACCCAAACGTATATGTATATGTTTCATGTATAATTTCTATAAAACCATGGCTTCAATCCGATGCCAAAGCTTAGTTTTATCAAAATTTTATCTCTAGTAGACAAGGCTATCGAAACACAGGTTATTGAATTTAGCTATTAGACAAGCTTATAGGATATTAAAATTGTTTAGACCCATAACATACAGCATAGATATTTTCTATTTCCATAAGAATTTGGAAAACCCTATCTAAGCATACACCGCTAGAGTAAATAGATGCATAATTTAATTAAACATATTTTTCTACAGCCAGAAATTTGGACTGTGTATTGTCTTCCAACAAGATGAATTGGTTTATTAAAAACTGTTAAGTTGATTTACTTGAGGCGAACTAATTTCCATACCGGTTAATCATAAAATCTAAGTAGCAATCGAACTTGAATATTCTATTAGGGTTTAGTAAAAATCTATTTTACGTTAAACGAGATCGAATCGAGACCGCGTTCGGCACTCTGATTGGCCAGCTCCAATGAACCAACCAATCAGAGCGTCGAACGCGGTCACATTTCGATCTCGTTAACCGTAAACGGAACTCGTACCAAGTCCTCAGTCAGTTGAAAATATTATTTATATTTTATAGAACTTTTAACCATTACTTTGTCTCAAAAGTGCTCCCAAAACCACCAATAGCTTTATGAAATACATATACCGATTAATAATTATATGAAAAGCGTTGTACGTGTGTATTTACCTGGTGCATCATGTGTTGCGGGTGCGCGTGAGTCTGTGCCGCGCCGTGCGCACTGCCGCCCACGAACTCGCCCGGACCTGCCCACATAGCGACTCGTATACAGCTTATACATAAATTAATGTGTCTTAGCTATCTATGGAATACTTTAAAAATATATGTGACCGATATGAGAGAAGGAAGCTAATAGCCGAATTAATATAATCGACTTCAATCTAAATCGTTCGTCGACAATAATTCTATTGAATTTCTGTTTAAATCTAAGGCAACTAGCAATTTTGCATTAAGATCGATTATCAATTTCAGTCATATAGACCATGGTTTGTGTGGCAAATCTAAAAAGACGATGATAAGGTGACATCATCTTTTTCGTTTTACTGTGAAAAATTATATGAAAAAATGTCAAAATGGATAAGTACTGAGTAAATATTACTGGACAATAGAAAAAAGCGTTAGCCATTGGATAATGGAAATACAAGATGAACTTAAGTAATAGGACAGGCATAAAAAGTAAGTATTTCATTGTCTTTATAGGTACCTATAGTAAGTGATAATTAATATGATACAACATTCAATAGCTAAAACACTACATTTTTATGAACAAGACCGTAAGCAATTACTCAATTAAGTATAGGTACAAATCATTCCTGAAAACCTGTAAAAGCTTACAATTATAGCGTGAAAAAGCATGTTTATAGACCTTTTTGTATTTGCAAACTGTCCACCACTAAATACTACGTACCTGCGTGATATCTATGAGGTGGTTGCTGTGTCTGTTGCTGAGTTTGTTGCTGAGTTTGTTGCGGCGTTTGTTGCTGCGTCTGTTGCTGAGTCTGTTGCTGCGTCTGTGGTTGTTGCGGAGTGTACGAGTCCGCTAGTGGACGCTGACGCAAGCTACTGTAACGTTTACTGCCACCACCGCCTAAAAAAACATATTTTTATCTTATACTATTATATAAAGCGGAAGAGTTTGTTTTTTTTGTTTATTTGTTTGAACGCGCTAATCTCCGTAACTACAAGTCTGATTTGAATAATTCTTTTCGTCTTGGATAGCGCATTTATCGAGGATGGCTATGGGCTATAAAACATGACGCTACGACCAATAGGAGCTGAGCAGAGCGTATGAAACCGCGCGGAAGTAGCTAGTTTTTTATAATAACTATCGTGAGTCAGACTAAGTTAATAAAAAATCGCGCTGTCACGCCGCGTACTGAGTAGTAGACATCGCCGCGACCGCGAACGCTGCGCCCTCTGTAGCTCGAAACTAGTAGAGCTTTTCTCAGTATACATATTTACGTGAGCAACCCGCGATTTTTAGTTAATTTGCATATTTTTATATTTGCAAGCGCATCCATGGCACAAAGAAAATTAAACGAAGAATGCAATATTTTTTAATTAAAAAAAATAATGTTTTGCGTTCGCCACGTCGTTTGTTGCGTAAAACTTTCATGACTATGAGCCCCGAACGTGACTTGAAACTTGTCGAGTAACCTCATCATACAGTTACAGTTACCTATTAAACTGTAATACAACAAAATAAAAGAATACAATATTACTTATAATTGTCTAAAACTGTTAAACAATACATAATGTAACAAAAACTCCCCGGATGATAGTATATTTTTCATCGACTTCCCAAAAAGTAGGTGCTTCTCAATTTGTTTATATATTTCTTTGTACGCGATAAAATAGTACGCGACCAAGATAATAAACTTTTGAATGTAAAAAAACAATTATTATTTGTATTAGACCTCACCTGCAGTGGTCTGTTGTTGTTGGTTGTTTGTCTTCTGTTGTTGGGCGGACTGTGGCGGGGCCGTAGTGGGGGGAGACTTCGTGCGAGGGGGGTTGGGGTGCGGCTGGGGCTGTGTAAAACAATATATTATCATACTTTTAATACAGAAGTTACGTATGGTACTTGCAGTGCTTATACATTATCTTCGCGGCCCAATGAGATAGCGGTTTTCTGGCGTTAACTTTTTATTACTAGACAAATGCATTAGGATTAAATATTGACTCGAAGATCGATTTCGAGAACTGCGACTACTAATCATTCAACAAAACAGTGTTTTACATAGCAAAACAAAATGGACAGAATGAACAACAGTTGATTGCAAGGTAATACAAATTTGGAGGACACATATCATCATCATCATCATGAGCTAGAAAACGTGGACTGCTGAACAAAGGCCTCCACTTTGAACAACAAGCAAACACAATATAGTGCAATTTCTTCTCTTTTTTAGACAACAAGAGGCCCTACATTTATAAAACAGTCAAAGGTGTCAGCGGGTCGAGCTGGTGCTTCTGCTGCTTTTGCCAAGAATCTTAAGCCATACAACGTGGCAATGCTGCCAGTCTTTTGGATACTTTACCTCATGACAATGATAACAATAATGTTTTTGATGCTTTAAGTTAGTTTTTCTTGTTTTTTTCCTATCGTATTTTTCTATATTACTAATGTTAATTTTATTTGTAAATACTTTAGTTTATATATATCTTAGCCCTAGTTATTTAGTTTATATCCACATATAAATTAATCAAAGATTGTTCCTTATCTTAGAAATGTTTACGAACCTGTGCATTAGCGTTAGGCTTCTTCCTTCCCTGGTCAGTGGGCACCGGTCTCTGCTGCGCTACCGTCGCGTTCACCTTGCGCGGGGCCTGACCTTGACTGGAAATTATAACTTGATTTCATATCTGTGTCGTTTATACCCAATCAAAAATTACACTATTTATAACTCAAGAACGACACAATCGATTGGAGCTTAGAATTAGAAGACTATAGGATACTTTTTACCGAATATTTTTTTTACGTTTTACCGTCACGAACGGGGACGGGAGAAAACGGGATTGTGCGTATACGGGCAGAACTAAGCTAGTATCTTCATATAAGAGCTTGCTTCACATTGTCTGCAAGTCCAACTGATGGATGTTTTTACCTATTTTCTAGAAGATATGTGTATAAATACGTGTCAGTTGAGCCATCACTCGGGATCTTATCAGGTATTGTGAAATACGCCCACAATCAATAACAGCCATGTGTATTTAAAAGCATAATAAAGGCTTATTTGCGGTATATCACTTTTTAACAGTATCTGATCAATTTTTTGGTCCAAATGCAATTGTTGTAAAATATTGAACGACTAAAAATAGACCTTCTACCCAGAAAGAAATACAAGAAAATCTATATCAAAATAATGCGTAGTAAACAAAAAGCCTTACTTGTTATTATTGTTGTTCACATTAGCAGTGATAGTCAGGTTTTCTATGGCCGGCATCTTCTCTTCTCTCTTATTAGGTGTTTTATTTGCAGGCTTGGCAGGAATGCGACCCGACCCTTGTTTCACTGCCGGCTTCTTGGTAGATTTTATTGAGGCGTTGCGACGAAGCTGACCGCCATTCTCAACCGGCTCGTTGGCAGACGGCTGAGACTTGGAGCGAGGGCGAGGACGCGGTTTGCTGGTGAAAGAAGGAATGGTTATTATAATTATAATGTGAGTAATCTTTTTCTTCTTTAGCCTTTTTCTACTCTGTGTAGGCCTCCTTCAGTTTCTGCCATCTCTTTTGGTCTTTCAATCCATTTCGATATGAATTTGAAGACAAGATAATGAAACGCTTTTTAGACCCTGAAAGTATAAGAAACCCTTTACCGAAGGGAATCCAACCCGAGACCTTTTATTCGGTAGTCCAGTTACACGACCAACGACAGTTTTGAGAAATTTATCATCAAATAATGATACTTTGCTCGACCGGAAATTGTTGTTTATTATTCGTTCTTTATTATGTTATACTATAAAGCTGAATGGTTTCTTTGTTTGAACGCGCTAATCTCAGGAACCAATGGTCTAATTTGAAAAATTATTTTTGTGTTGAATAGTCCATTTATCGAGGTAGACTGGAGATTTCCCCATTACAATCTAATGGTTTTATCAATATTTCTATTAAGTTTCTATTAAAAACTTACATCAATCCAGAAATTGTTCATCAAGACCAATTATTATATTAATATCAGTCAATATAACATACCCATGTCTGCGACCATCAAGTTCCGGGAAGTCCTCAGCGGTGGGTGGTTTCCGCGGCAGTTGTTGCGCGGCGGACTGGCGCCTGTACGCCTCCTCGTCCTCCCACGTACGGGTGTACTTGTTGGGACCGCGACTGGAGACGAATTGGATGATTAGAAGGGTTTAGAGTAGCGCGTGGTGGGGTTGAAAGGTGATTTTTTCCAAAAATTGTCCAACACTTAGATATTCTCCTATGTCGTGGGTGCGTTTACAAACAAACATACAATTATGACATACACATGACACCCAGACCCAAAACCACAATTTGTGGATCACACAAAGAGTTGCTCCGTGCGGGAATCGAACCGCCGACACGTTGCATGGCAGCCACCGCACAACCATGTCGTAAGGTTATGTTAGGTTAGTGTATTAATATTTTATTTGATTGGTGAATATTTTTAAACATTTCTATAAAGAATTAAAACTACCTCATATAGAGTTGCTTCTAATTATTTACTTAGGACATCAAGTTAAACAGTTTAGAAGCTGTATAAAGCTTTTAATTTTTCCATTCAAAACATAAGAATTGGCATGCAAAATTTGTAAATAATTTATGATCGATACGTTAAAAAGCAGTTTGTCTAAATAAACACATGCAGAAAAGTGACTTGACTCTTCATTTCGAAACAAAATAATATTACAGCAAGTACTATATATTTTAAGCTAAATATTCAGTTTAAATTAAATAAATAAACAGAATAAATATCGATACAACATCAAAGCATGCAGACACAGGTTCCACTAACCGCCACGAGTGTCGATACCTCCATTTGCAATGCATGATGAAACATTCATGTTAGATTTATACAATTTATTACTAAAGTTCCTTTAATTTTAATTCACGTTTGTACACTGCAAGATCGCATATACGTTTAATATGATTATGGCGGGATTCGAACCCAGAAGCGTACTTGCAACACTTTAAAATACAAGGTGTAAACGAAACGCTATCGAAAACGCAGCCTACGTTTACAGTTTTTAGTTACTTCTGCACGAATGGGCCGGCTCGACCGGAGGGATACCTACCCCGCCCCTTATCCCAATCTCCCCAATCCCTGAATCCCCAACATTCCTCAAATTAAGTAAAATCGCGGGTTACTCACGTGAATATACTGAGAAAAGCTCTACTAGTTTCGAACCACAGAGGAGTTCTTCCTCATGAGCAGCGTGCGCGGTCGCGGCGACGTCGCGCATTTCGCGCCATAATTCTTATGTCTCACGATAGTTATTATAAAAACATTCTTCAAATTCCTAATCCACAAAAGGCCGGTAACGCACTTGCAACGCATCTGATATTCCTGGTGTCCATGGGCGACGCCAATTGCTTACAATCAGGCGGCGGAACATTAAGCGCCGTGAAAAAATTATTCTTTAATTTTTGAAAATGTAGCTATCGTATTTCACTATACTATCACCTGTGCGTTTTTGGAAGCGTTAAGATTTATTACACCTTGTATTTGTAGAAAAGTAATATTTGTTTGCTACATTTTAAAATATTTGTAGATAATTAATATTTGTCAGTGACATGACCTGTTTTACAATATCTAACTTAGTTTCTGTTACCCTACGTCCTGCGTGAGCGATCTAGGAGCGAATGCGGAGCGATGCGATGCAAAAACAACAAACTGTCGAAACCTATTGAAGTGTCCTACGTGACAATACGCCCGCGATCAATTGATTCGATATTTTCGCGCGAACTGTCATATTTAGATGCGATGCTGTCATGTATTTAATAACTAAGCGAAACAATTCGCATGTACGTAGCACATAGCCGCCGCTTCGCACCGCATCGCGTTGCATTCGCGTATCACGCTTCATTTTTTTTTATGGCATAAGCCGGTAAACTAGCCGACGGATCACCCGATGGTAAGCAATCGGCGCCGCCCATGGACACCTGGAACACCAGAGGCGTTACAAGTGCGTTACCGGCTTTTTGGGGATTAGGAATTTGAGGATCGTTGGGGATTCAGGAATTGGGAAGATTAGGGAAGGGGAGGGTAATTGGGCCTCCGGTAACCTCACTCACACGACGAAACACAAAGCAAGCGTTGCTTCACGTCGGTTTTCTGTGAGGCCGTGGTATCACTCCATACCCCATACTTTATAATCGCTTTCGCTTATAGATCGCTCAGGCAGGACGTAGCGTTGATATAACTAACGGATGATTTGACTTTTTTTTTCATACGAAATGTAGTTAACAGAACCGTACTTAACTTACATTATACTTATTTATTTAAACTTTAATGTACACAGAAACGAGTGACGGTACATAAGGCGGACATTAATGCCATATATCATTCTCTCCCAGTCAATCTTAGGGTTCAATAGAATATCATCGTAAAACAGACCCTACTTAGGGTATGTTTCGTTGAGTTGAGTTAGGCGGCCAATTAATTGATATTTTTCAGCCATTAATGTTGTTCTATCCTTCACAAAAAGTACAAAACCATTACGGTATGACTTTAAACATCACTAGCGCCATCTACTAAAGGCTTTTGCGTTATTAGTTTGGTTAAAATAGGTATTATAGTGGATATTCACCCATATCGTCTGTTGCGTCTCGCGTGAGGAGGCGCATCCTCGTTTCGAATGTCGTAGCCGTAGATAGCCACCAGCTCGTCACGGGACTTCGGCATCTGAAATAAAATAACAGAAGAAATATAGTTTTTAATAACTAAAAAATGAAAAAAATGTTTGTTTATATTTCTTTAATACTGCCTCATTAGTCGAGTGGTCGCAAGTGCGACTGCCGGGCGAGAGGTCTCGGGTTCGATTTCCGGGTCAAGCAAAGTACTACTGTTTTTTTTTTAAATCTCAGTTACTACTGAAATCTCTATTACATGGGACTCATAACATAAATAGTGAAAAGTGGCTGTTACTTTGTATAGTGGCAGTAAGTGCCATCATATATGCACCTCTGCCTACCCTTCGAGTGTAAAAGGCGTGATGACACATTTCCAGACTCCGTGCTACTGAAGAGAATTTCTTTAAAAAAGTAATACTTTGCCCGACCCGGGAATCGAACCCGAGATTCCTTGCCCAGCAGTCGCACTTACGACCACTCGACCAACGATGCAGTCATTTGGATATTAGTAAAGTAATAAATCAACCCCTAACAATGAAACTGTTCTAAAGTTTTCTATAGGCACACTTTTACCCCTTTGGAGGGTATTATAGGTAGCCAACAGCACAGAAACCTACCCAGACTCCCCCTACAACACATTTTCAACCTTCATAACTCAGTAATAAAGTTTATATTTAACAAACCTGTTCATTCTCATTGTACTTGTCATGAGACCACTTGTTTACTATCTCCGACTTGCGCGGCGGTCGACGTCGCTCGGTCGGCGGCTCAGTACCTTCTTTCTTCTCTGAAGCCGCTTCCGATGTCGCGTTGCTTGATTCTTCACCGCTATAACAAATATTAATATACAATAGGTTGTATAATTTGAGTGATTTTTTAAACAAGCCCTTATTGCAACCGAATAGAACTCATAATAAATTGTATATAAATGTTAGGGTAAATTCTTGGTCATGTTTACATCATTATAATGACAATAACATAAATCGATTAGTTTTTGATGTCTGTCTAAAGCTACTATAAAATACATTGATACTTTGAAGGATCATCCTATATATCAGGCCAAGAGATTCTTTATCCACCCTAATCTTTACTATGTACATAAAAAAATAAAATATGTACTATAAATTATAACAAAAAAAATACATCCAACCATAAATTAACAACTCTACAATCATCTAAAAGCCTTATTCGAAATAAAAACCTAAATATTTAGCAACAAAGCAAAATTACATAAGCGCACAAACATAGGTGCGCACACGCATTCGTAATTACAGTCAGTCGAGCGGTAATGACCGAACTACTCAGTGATGCGGCAATAGAAAGCTGAAACACTGAATTACAAGCGATACACTATTGGGAATATTGATTTGTGGGTGTATGTTAATGTAATATTGTTTGTAGGTATGCGATGCGTAGGCGCATACAGTTTAAGAAGATCGATTATCTGAATATAGGTGTAACAAGAGCTTTTTATACTTATTTATAATCGGTATGTATGTGTATAATTATGTAAATTTTGTGTTTGTGTATTTATTATGATAAAAATCTTAATAGGAAGACTGCAATCGTGCCTGTTATTTTGCCATGCCCTTTTACAACGATAGACACGTAGAACCGTAGCGAAATCCTAGTTCTCATTAAAATTAACGGAGACATTTCTGCATAGTCCAGATTTCAACTTCTTAAAACCGCAAACAAGTTGATTACAGCATGGTTTTCACTTGTTAAACTGATTTCTAGACACGCTATTGTTTTATCAATACTTTCATGATTACCTACAAATAACGATAAGATTTCCATGTTACATCATTATCGAGTTACAGTAACATATTTTTGGTTAAACTATACATTTAACTAGGATGAAATAAGAACTATATTTGCATGAATATCTGTTGCCTGTTGATTATTTTAGTAAGTTTTGTAATTTGTATTATGCGTCAAACGCGTCTTAACTTTGTTCTCACATATTATATGTACAATATAGGATGATGTATCAGAGAGATTGTAATCCATATTTTTTTAAAGAGTAACGATTAGAGTTTCTTTCTCGTTCTTCTCCATTCGAATCTACATTTCGGAACGAGCACCTAGCTTTACTGACGAACAGACTATTATTTATTTTATATTTGTTGACGTTTCAAAAGTACCAAATTGTGGTTTAATTTCTTAGAGATTCTAAAAAGGAGTATTCATATCATCATCATCTTGTGTCATCATCATCATCATAACTTGCATGTGTGTGTATGACTTGATTTACAAATGTGTAACATTAAATAAGACTAATATCTGTCTAGCTTTTGAGTTTACAGCTACAGTAACTAAATTCCATGCACTATGCTACTCGCTGTTGATTTGTGGAATAGAGTACCATACGTAGCATTACTATCGCCAGTAGGTACGTCTGATAAATGAATACTAATAATTCCGGTATGTAACTAAAATGTAAACATGGCCATTAATACCTCTTATGACTCAAATAAATTGTGACAAATACTTTATGGCAACCACTACAATCTACAAACTAAAGTCTAAAGTGTCATGCACCAAAAATACTTACATTTTGCCCGAACCCAAATGCCAAATAACCGCAAACCTACCTACTTAGGATATCGGGACAAAAACCGCCAACAGAAGCGCCTCGTTTGAAAGCAGGGTACGTCAGAACTCCGGATTATTTCGCAGGCCGATGTGAATGCAGGATTGCGAAGGAATCCGAGGGTCCCGCGGCCCAAATTTAAGACCCCATATCTTCCACCCCTCTCGAAGTATCTCAGCACGCTTGCTTAATCTCCCCCAAATTGCCGCCTTCTGTGTTATTCCTAATAGATTTTTTATTGGATAAGGCGGCAAAGGAGCATGTGGCTCATCTGATGATAAGCAATCGGCTTCGCACATCTTCATGTGAAACGCCGACTGCTGATTGATTACAGATGTCCACCCGCAACACCAGTGCGTTGCCGGCCATTTAGGAGATTGAGGATTGAGAGATTAAGAGCATTAGGGTATGGGGATAGCATAGGGAGATTTGGAAATGGGGGCAAAGGATTGAGTCTACAGTAACCTTACACGGCGAAATACAACGAAAGCGTTGCTTTTGGAACCATTGAGATCACGTGCCGGTCAAACTTGCCAGTTTGTGGGGCGGCATGGCTCTACCACCTATGTGGTATACTTCTCCACCTATAAACTTATAATCAATAATGGTCAACTTAGTAGTCAAACTCACCTAGCTGCAGTTCGGTCGTCGTGCTCGTAGAAGGTTCCCCTCTTGGGGATGTATTGCGGATTGCTTCGGTCTTCGTCATCGTCTACTCGACGTTCCGTTTCCTGTAATAATAACATAAAACTTATAAAAAATTTGAAGCAAGGAACAGAGATATCGAAAATGGCAATGAAACAACCAAATGCAAGTGATAGTGTAGGTGTACCTATATGCGCAAAAATGTAAGTGCACTCTCTGAAAAGACTAGAAGTAATTTGATCAATCTGCGAAATTAATATTAGGACTTCTTCTTTAGCGTTGACACATAATTCAGTTCGACATATATGGTTAATATTATTTTAAACAGCTACAGGTACGTTATCGGAAGTCCTAAAAGCCCTATCCTTTAGGAGACCATGGTCAAAGGTATGGCCCGGTTTAGGCAAATATATCCTAATGACAGCCTCGTTGGCCGAGTGGTCGCAATTGCGACTGCCGGGCAAGGGATCTCAAGTTTGACTCCTGGGTAGGGCAAAGTATTAATAGGTAAATAGCACGGAGTGTAGTATTGTGCCCGTGTGCTATAGGCTCACCCCCTATTACATTGGACTCATAACATAAACAGTGAAAAGTGGATGTTACATTGTACAGTGGCGTTAAGTGCAGCAATGTGCACCTCTGCCTACCCTTTCGGGGATAAAAGGCGTGATGTTATGTTATGTACGTTTATGTTAGATCCTAATGACAATATTGTCCAATGTCCAATCAAATACTTCGTTAGACGATCACTAAAATCCTACGTCACAATTCATTCACACACATTATCAGCATGAATCACTGTTTACGAAACTTTCTACAATCATGTCTCTCATTCGTGGACAAAAACATGATGTATATAACATACAAATTATTATTTTTTTCTTTCCATTTGTTCTGCGTTATGACAACCTGTCCGGTAGAAAGTTATTGTTGTAACTTCGTTTGATAGTAATGAGGAGACTGATTGACAAACTGCCATTTTCTTTGTTATTATTATTTTTCTGAAGGCCGTTATCACCAACCATGCCGAAAAGTTACTTAGCTCATGCTAAGTCTGATGTAGCACTTAAACTAACCCCTAACTATAGGTTGATTAAAACCAAAATATCGTTAAATGCCACCTATTTTAGCTTAGGGGTTCCTTAAAATTTCGGAAAGCTTGCTGAAAACAAGCATAGATTTCATTATCAACCTTGAAACCGGGAATCTATGCATGACCTGGAAACTTTTAATACCAGTTATATAATGGAGTCCATTGTGGCCGATTTTTGACAATAGACGCGCGGCTCTCTATTTAATAATAACAAAATGGTCGTCTGGATTAGTGCCCGGAGTTGGCAAAGGGTGAGTAAGCTTGCCTTAGATTACAAAGTGACTAACTCATGTTTGAAGGTTCTTTACATATTCATACGTTTCAAACGCTCTATAAAACAAGATAGGGGGTAGCCATATTAATAATACCGTTTCATCCACGTGCCGTTTCATGGACATAGATTAAAAACGACGATCATATTGAAACCACTAAACGTGTTTCTTTTATACTAGTACGCCATAATTGGCGGATGCTACTTTGGACCACTGCAAAAAGGTCTTTATGTAACGTATTATTAAGGTTGGTATATAATATAGAATTTACTGGGCATAATTGGTTGACAATGAAGTGTACTGGTCAGTAACGATTCAATAAGAAATTATGTCAAGAAGTAAGGGTGAATCATAATAAGATTTCGGCTCCTCTTGAGTTGATGACTTGTGAAGGCCAACGTATTTTGTCAGGGATGATAAAATTATTTGAAGCTCTTTTATGACTTGGCCCCACACTACGGTCTGGAGGTACCATGGGTCTGTTTACAAAACCCGGCACACAGACCCGAAATAATAAATAGTAGTAGAAAAAAGTCCAATGTTTGAGCAAAAGGTCTCGTAGTCATTTAAATACGTCCCTCGGTTGCATTGGACTTTTAGGATGGTCTCTGTATATTCCAGTTTACAAAAGTTGTCAAAAATGGAATAAAATACTATCAATATACAAAAACACTCTTCGCTAACCAAAGATCTCTTCTAACATAGAAAAATAATGATCCAAATACTTGTTCAAAGCAAATTAGCAATGTTAAACATTAGAAGAAAACTTCTCAACAAATTAACAAAATACTAAGATGTAAGAATTAAATAACAATTAGGGTTATCAATTCTATTATATGAGTCATAAGGTTCAAATATTACATAACCTTTGTACGATTCCAGATAACTGTATGAACTTAGAAACCATGTCAAGTTCATTGTAAACCAAAACGAAATAGCATTATTAGAAGTACAATTTCGAATACTTTTTATGGGGACAGACAGGGAACACTAAAGCAGATGGATAACTAGAAAGCCAATGATCAGTGCTGTCCAATGGACACCCGCAACACTTGATTGAGGACGCAAAGTGTGTTGCTGCCGACCCTTTTACAAGGAGTACGCTCTTGTCTTAACTTAAGTCATACCGGTTCATAAAAAGGCAATACAGTTTTATTGAGTGAAACACAACTTAACAAACACACAGTTGAGAACTAGCCACCCATTTATCCCAGTCCGTAAAACTTATTGATATTCAACCTAATACCATTGCAATAAAGTTTAAAAAAACATTTTGTATAGTTTGAGGCATCTTGAGCAGTCATTTAAACAAAGAGGACAATAGGCCAGTCATTTCTATTTTTGCAAGTTGGTCCTATTCGAGAACACGTGGCTAATTTGCTAGATAAGTAACTTTGGTCCTTATGATATGGGCTTAAGATCGCAAATCGGACTTACATGGCAAATGCACCTAAACGTCATTTTTTTTCGAAGCTACCTGACTTGTAATAAGCGTGCAAGTCGCTTAGCCATCGTTTATTGTTTACAAACAAAAACTACAGCCACAACTCATATACGACCTAAATACTATAAGATTGTAAATGGCTCAATCGCAATATTTTTGCATAGTCACAAGTTTTAATTCACAATCAACTTATTTGCAAGCATATCCCACTAAAATAAGGTCGTAAATTGTTCACCGCGAACATAATGACGGAAATATAATTCATATCTCTATAAATAACATTATTATGAACCGTAACAAACCCGTTACTTTCGAATCAAAAGAGGTTTTATTTGTTTTATCTTGTCTCCGATATGTAGGACGAGATAAAATCTGGTTCAGGCCATTATAAGTATTTTGTACATTAATAAACATGTTTAGCAATAGTAAGGGAATCGCTGGATAAAGATCATTTCCAAACAGCTGGAGAAGGAAGAAGGAGAAGAGAGAAAGAAGTCATTTGTCACCACCACTGGTCTACTCGCGGGTGTCTTAAGAGGCAATAAAAGAACTACACATTTAACAGACGCCAGACTGCAGCGCTAGACAAACCTGACTGGGCCTCCTCTGCAAAAAGGGATTTGTCAGAATCAGTTTAGCATAGCTTGCGGGTCAGAGATCGTACTTCAAATGGTTTAAGTTAATCAGAGAACGTTGCTGTCCGATCTGTAATAAATAGTCCCTAAAGCTAAGTCTTGCGTGAGCGATCTAGAAGCGAATAGGAAGCGGTGCGGCGCGGCGCGAAAACAAAAAACTGTCGAAACATATTGAAGTGCCCTCCGTGACAATGCGCCCTTGGGGTGCGAAATAACGCGGACGCGATCAGTTGATATTTTAACGCGAACTGTCATATTTGGATGCGGTGCAGTATTTTGTTTGGTTATAGGTTAATGTCGGAAACAAAAACGAAGCGAAACGATCCGCATGCATAGCTGCCGCATCGCATGGAATTCACGTGTCACCGTTTCATAATCGCGTTCGCTTCGAGATCCCTCACGCAGGACGTAGAGTAGTCAGTCGATCCTTACAATACGTCACACACGCAGGAAGACTAGGGGTAGGTACTGATAAATGAATTCTACTCTAATATATTCTTATTTTCAATACAAACACCGGTCCTTGCATAATGTTAATAAACCTGACTTGTACTGAAAGGGCCAAAATACGTGGTTTGACCTTGAAATACCCTCTGTACATACAAAGCCACAATAAAACTGGCATAACGTATCGCGGCAGCTTTTAATAGTCTGTTTATTTACCTTTTGAAAGGTAATATTGCTTGGAATATATAATATAAGATTATGTTTGATATTCCAACGAACTGCAAGCAGAGACATCCACCAGAGATGCCATTTGTGATATATTTTGTCAAAAAAGTGTAAACCACCCTGTAAGTAGATGCATTAAAGTGCTTTGATTTTTTTTATATTTGATGGGCCGACGTTCGACCACTTTTTTTTAGGGGTGTAAATCAGCGAATGACTGCTCAGGAGTGTCAGACTCTTACTGACTAAAAACCACCCCGTTCCTTCTCCTGCACGTCGAGCCGGAGCCCCGGTTACCCGTTAGGTTCTCCGCGACTCCGAATCGGACGTTTGACCACTACCTCGCCTAGTGATAAACGATTTATACCAACTTTTCGATAATTATGAGTCTCATCATATCATGTTATTATAATTAAGGGGTGACGCTATTGCCATATACAAAACTTTTAATGATCTCTCGACCAACGAAACATACCGTCTCATAAAAGGACTAAAAATACTAACATAAATGACAATTTAAAAGAAGTTAATGAAATGTGCTGAAGTAAAGAAACAAGTATCTACGCATTGGGAGAATAAATAGTATAATATTTACATAATAAAAAGTGCTATAATGTGTTTGTTCAGAATGAGTCACACGTCTCCCAACCAGTCTGTTGCAACAATTTTGTGTAATAAATACTACAAACGTTATACTTTCATTATAATTAACCAATTACGATTTGAAAGTGCATTACAATAATTATTTTAATTTTTCCTGTTTCTTGGGGTCAAATTATAATTATTATTAACTAACAGCGACAATGAGATTTCTTTTTTTCAGTTTTTTGTCACTAATTGACCATAAATCATTTTTGTTAGAAAACTTACTACCTATCCTTATCCTATAGATATCACTACATAGTATAAAACATAGTCGCTATCCGCCATCTGTCTGTCCCTATGTATGCTTAGATCTTTAAAACTACGCAACGAATTTTGATGCGGTTTTTTTTATAGATAGAGTTACTCTTAAGGAAGGTTTATATATATATAATACATGCATATTGAACCCGTGAGAAGCCGGGGGGGTTGCTAATAATATGAAAATAATTTTCTAAGTAGTTATTAAATAAGTATTTATACAAAGATTACTTTTACCGAGTTAAATGATACCAGCTAATAATAACTGTACTTAATCTTTAACGAAATCAACATAAAAATCTAATTTAGGAACGACTCATAATTTATTACATCATTTAAATTCAATTAAAATTAGCATTTTTATTATTATTACTATTTTTAAGGTGTAAATATTTTAGTTTTTAGTTATTTATATTTTAAGTTGTACGTATTAATTTAATTTAAATTCTTATTAATAAAGTACCACAGATAAAAAATACAATAAAAAATAACATTTGTCACGGACTTTATCTTTCTTACTTTCCTCTTCCTATAAATTCTAACGTCTCACACATTTTCCAACATAAGTCATTTGTAGATTGTCATATTTGTTTCAAGTAATTTATTTTATCTTAAAACATGTCCAGTTCAGACTGGTTGTTACAATGAACATGTCCGCTGCTGCCTACACTTTCACATAATGAATAGTAATAGTACCATTGCAGCTCCTCCAATTAGGTGGCTGTATAATATATAATTCATCATTAACCTATGTTATGCTGGAGAGCAGATAAACTGGAGACACAATGTGTTTTGTTGTCCATTGTGTCTCATATATGCACAGACATGAGGTTTATTGATCCTATTTGGCAATGAATCATAGGCTTCTGAATACCATACCACTGAGTTCAAGTTCTTTTGTAACCATATAAATGTCTTAGTTTTTCTGTTTTTACTGTTGAAGGACTGCAGGAAGAGATTCCTATGGGATTATGCAGTACCTATATACTTCCAATCTTCACATATATTCTCCTGTGTACTGTCTGTGTGTTATGCATAATTTTACTAGGAACTAGGATTTTCTCGTGTGTCGTGGGTGCGTTTACAAACATACAAGTTCACATACACATGACACCCAGACCCGGAACGACAATTTGTGGATCGCACAAAGAGTTGTTCGAACGAACGAACGAACCCGCGACGCGTTGTGTGGCAGCCAGTTGCCCAGCCAGTTTGTAAATATGGTCACTATATCACAAGATACTGGGAAAGATTTAACTCTTAACCCTAGCCTAGTATCTGGTAAATAATAATAATGATCATTATAAGCATCATCATCATCGGTTACCACCAGACGAGATAGTTGTTAAGCGACCCAATTTAAATTAACACGGTAAATACCATGGGGGTCACCGGTGACCACCACTACAGACGATTTGTATAATATAGTTATTTATTAGCAGTTATGTTCTAAAAAGAATTAATTGCCAACTTAGTACCAATTATCATAATTAATCATGCATAAATATGATTATTTAATACAATGACACTTTGTTGGGGAAACTCATATCAAAGTGGCAAACATTAATGAACTTGGAGATGATAAGAATAAATGTATAATTAAAAACCATTTAAAAGGCTGAAACATTAATGATAATGAGTATTATGACATTACGAAATATTGCTTTTATAAATTAAAAATTGATTTTTATTTTATATTTTTGTGATTTGGTGTGTTGTTCACAAATATAAAATATAATTAAGCCATGTATGGAGAAATTAGCCATTTATTCTCGTAAACATAATTAGTACCTAATTGAAATATGAAGGAGAAAGTTATTAAAAAATTAGGTAACTGTTTTTCGGATAACAAATTCGTAATTAAAAATATTGACAATTGAAACAAATGTAAACCAAGATGAAGGGACAAAAAGATAACATTAAAAAATGCCACAAAAAAAAATTACTTGAAAATTACCACAAATACTAAGTCATTAACTTCCATATTCCGAGACATTAAATGATTACTTAAACTGTCAAACACCAAGCTGTCACCGGTGACCGCAACCTATCGTTCTATAATTGTGTCTATAAAGACGGTACTCGACGAGTTAAACTTACATCATTCCTAGATTAAGTAACCAATGACGAATGTATGTTATTTATAGAAAATATCTCTATTTACACCTTTACGGTCAAATGCACATTGTTTTGAAGATTATCTCCACACAACATGTTCTGTGATGACTTAAAAGTGCACGAGTACTAAGTCACTACGGTGACCCAGTATTATATGCATTGTTTTTAATCTGTGACATAAGGTGCAATTTCATTGCTATTGTTTTAATATTTATTAACATGTCATGGTATGGCTTTTAAATCCCTGAAGGAGTATGCAAGGGTGCTCATATACAATGTAAAAATTACTTTTCACCAGTTGTTACGAGTCCGATGTAAAGGGTCTCCTTTACATCAACCTCCGGGCCACTATCATAGTTTAAAACATAATTTGATAATTATAAAACATATAGTCTTATTATTGCCTTACACTGGTCATAATTATTTTCATATATATTTTTATATATAATAATAGTCTTATTATTGCCTTACACTGGACATAATTTCAGACTGCATATGAAAAGATTTTTGGAAAAACCAAGAAAATACACTGAAAAGCTGTTTTATAACATAGCTTGTGTTTGATTATTTTTAAACATTACAATGATATTGTTATTATAAAACGAAAATATGGAAAAATATGTTTTATAATTATCAAATTATGTTTTAAACTATGACAGCGGCCCGGAGGTTGATGATGCCTGCTTCTCATGCATGAGGGTGCAGGTTCAAAACCTACCAACGGCAAGTACCAATGTGACTTTTTCCGAGTTATATGTACTTTCTAAGATTATTTAGACACCTCTGACCAACGGTGAAGGAAAACATTGTAAGGAAACCTGGGCTTATAAATTGCCAATCCGCATTAAGCAAGCGTGGTGATTAATGCTCTAACCTTCTCCGTGTGAGAAGAGGTTATGCTCAGAATTTATAAGCTGTTGATGATGATGTTTTAAATATAACTTTGTTTGTTTTGTTCTTTACATATGCAGTAATACACAGATATACATTCAATCTATTTGTGTCCTATATGACTCATATTGTTATGATATAAACATTTATGAAAATGTAGATCTAATTTTAAAAATGTTTGATTATTTTATTGAAGTCACATTCATGATTTTTAAATATTAGCATTTAAGTTAATGATTATTCATTTAATACTTAATGATTCATTCTAAAAAAAATATCAAGTTAGGTGCTTAAAACACCTACCTACACATTTTTTGACTAAATATTCAAATAATATGGAAATAAATAATATTGTAAGTGGTGTATTATTTAAATTAAGAAATACTTAAATAATGTACTAGATATTTCATTTCAATACTACTTCTTCTAAATAACATACATAGAAAAATACCATGCAAAAACACCACACCTGTAAAGGAATAAAAGATGTGGTATTTTTCATGGTATTTTTTATTCATGTTATTTTATGTATGTCGGAGGACTAAAGCAACATAGAGACACATTGGACAAGTAACAATATTCACCATTATGTAAAAAATACCATGTTATAGGAAATGAGCCTACTGTGATAAACTGAATATGATATTAAATAATAGATTTAAGAACTCTGATAGCTTCATAAAATATTCATTAGTACTACAATTTGCAATGTTCAATACACATGAGACAATTTCATAGCCAATTAGCCAATCAGAAACAGGTCACTAGGTTAAAGTACATATATCTATCAATAGGATTTTAATAACATGCAGTATTTATAAACAATTATGTTTTTTTTTTTAGTGTAAGTTGAGTAGCAAGTTTATCATAGTGTAAGTAGTAAAGTATGTGGGTGTGAGGATGTAAAAGACAGTACCTTATTCTCGGAATCCTGGTCGGAGTGCTCAGAGTCACTCCCTTGAGAGTCATAGTCCGACTCATGCTGCCCACCATCCTGCAAACATCCTTCCACTTTTAACAACTGCATTTTCAACACAAAACAGTCTTGTTTACAATCTACGTGGCGGCAACGTTTCTAAAATTAAAGTCTAAACACATCAGCGGCGTTTCAGTGAGTGGTGCCCAATTCGTGACCTCAATATAACTAAAAGAAATGGACATTCCGTCACGCGAACGACCGAGAGAAAGTAAGCTGTAATACTTTTTAGCGCCAAAACGAAAGTTTACGCTACTGCGACTAGACCCTTTACTTACGTTCACGGAGATATTGTGCTCGATATCCTGCGATGCGTCCGAATATTCTCCGGAATCTTCGTGTTCTTGTCTCCTAGCCACGGCCGTCATATCGGCGTCCTCTCTAGTAACCTGCAGGACCTCCAGTTTGACTGCTTTTGTTGTATATTTAACGGATAAAATGCAGCGTAATCGCGCTCGTTGTACCGTCGTTAATAAGAAATCCCCTCTCGTTTTACGAAAAATGAAATGAAAGAACGTCAAAACAAGGGGAATCTAGCGGCCATAAAAAAGTAACGTTTAGTTCGTTCAGGAGGTGAATACTGGTAACCCAAAAACGTTGAAAATAAAATTATCACAAAAATTATAACTAAGTTCCTAAAATATTTTGTTTGCTAAGGTTTCTAATTATGTTTGATAAACATTTTAGAAATTAAATAATGGTCAATTGTTTTTCAAAATTAAATTCTAGACTTTAAATGCAACAAAACGCACATAACACAGAGGCTGGCAACACTTTCAAGAATTGTCAATTTAACTGGTATTCTCGACTGCGTTAAAAAATCCCATTTCTCATTAATTTATTATTTTAATCTTACGGATATGAAAAAGAATTAAGAAATCATTGAAAATTTGTATGTTACGTGATACTGCATTTGTTTTGTATTTATTATTACAAATATCCTTGTTTTGCATTTCTTTCTCGCTGTTCTTTACTTGTTTTTCTTCTTCTGTGAAGAGAATTTCATCAATTTTTGCACATTTGATGTCCGGATGTCAGGAACGTCAAATGTCAGTAGATCATCACTTTGTGTCAAACGAATACCAATTTTTCAGGAATTAATATTATTGAGAACTTTCACTTTTCAGATACATAGTTATATTAAATTAAATAATTTGAGAAACAATACAAAACTGATATATAACGCTATTTAAACTGTCAAACACCAAGCGGTCACCGGTGACCGCAACCTATTGTTCTATAATTGTGTCTACAAAACCGGTACTCGACGAGTTAAATAAAAAAGCTATCCAATAAAATGGAAGAAAGGTAAATATAACAAGAAGTAGAACTGCAAACGTGTATTTATTTTGAACTTATACATTCATTTTATTGTTTAATTTTTTCAGCACCACTGTCGATGATGCTAAGACTGTGCAGCTTCTAGCTAAGGGTATTATGGAAATGTATGAACCACCTTTGACGACCATAAATACTCATTTAAAAGAATTAACGTGAGTAACATAGACTTGTAACTATTATGTATGTAAACTTGTTCTAAGTTATTTAGATGTATGTAAAATATTTTTAAAAATCATTATTAATCATCCTTCATTCATATTGTCACGTCTGTATCTTGTATGGTTAGGCAGAGATGACAGAATGCCTAATGAAAAACTTCTTTCACTTCACTTACGCCCGATTACTGAAAGGCTACTCCATTTCAAGTTGTACTTAAATATTGTGCCATCTCTGTCATTTTATAAAAAACTACCTCGTTTTCTCCCGTTCCCATAAGATTTTCAGGATTATTTTTCTATCATAAGAACCTTCTCCTGGCAATAACAAACAACAAAATCAGCCAAATCGGTCCAGCCAATCTTAAGTTATGGTGTGACAACAGGAAACGGGTTTTATATTTATATATATAGAAGATTATAGTGACAGGACTATATAAACTATATTTAAGTGTGACTTAAAATATATTACATACAAGTAATGCTTTTTTTATAGCTATACGCATAACATAGAAATACGTTTTTTTACATCAAGGAAACTGTAATGACTTAGAACTAACAGAAAAGAAAACTTAATATTGAGTAGCCTTTCAGTATTTGAGTGTTACATTCATTACTTTTAATAATTGCTCATTGATAAATGTAGTTTTTATTGAAAGGATGAATTTTTATTAAAACTGAGATGTTTAAATAACATAAGGAAAGTAAATAAAATAAATAAATTTGTACCGCTTAAGATAACTTTTTATTTAATTTGTTAATAGTGTACCTTTTACCTATTTTTTATCATGACTTGCTTACAGTGTAAAAAAGTAAGTTTGTTTTTTTACAGAGAAAAGCAAGAGGCAGTCCAAAGTATGCTCACCTCAGAGAAGAGAAGACTAGAAGATTTACAAAACGATGTTATGCTTGATGCATTGGTATGTAATAAGTATTATTATTTACAACAATGGCCCTCTATGTCTATATTTAAATCTACCTCCAGAGTCAGTGTTTAACTCGTCGAGTACCCTCATTATAGACACAATTATAGAACAATAGGTTGCGGTCACCGGTGACCGCTTGGTGTTTGACAGTTTAACAATTAAATCAAAACTCATTATAACATAACATCACACCTTTTATTCCTGAAGGGGGGTTTTTTTAAGGGGGAAAAATCATCGAATGACTTCTCCCTTATGGGTGAGGCGGAAGGGAGTGTCAGACTCTTACTAACTAAAAACCACCCCGTTCCTTCTCCTGCACGTCGAGCCGGAGCCCCGGTTACCCGTTAGGTTCTCCGCGGCATCCCTGAAGGGGTAGGCCGATTTGCACATTATCTATGGTACTTAATGCCACTGTACAATATAACACCCACTTTTCACTATTTATGTTATGAGTCCCATGTAATAGCAGGTGATTCTATTGCCATATACCGGGCACAATTCCACTCTGTGCTACTGCTCATTATAAAAATAATGGTTACTATTCTGTATTTGTATTTTCCAATCAGTCTGAGACACTGAGAATCTCCATCTGAGATAATTATCTTGATGATAACTATCTTATAAAGGTCCATAATTAAATTTTAATAGAAATAAAATGGGATATCAGACAGCAATATTATTTAATACATTGTCTTATTTCCTTTCTATAAATAAATAAAATAAATATTTTTTTCTTGACAAATATTTAACATAGATAAGCAGAATACCTGACCCTTGAACTAGTTTAGACTGTATGACAAGGGCCAGTGTCTTCATCCATGAGTTTAACAGTAACATGCCAATAAGAACACCGTAAAAAAATTACGAAAATATATGCTTTTGCGTGTGTGACAGGGTGTGTGTGTGCGTGTGGGTGTGAGTGCGTGCGTGCGTGCGTTTGCATGGGTGTGTATATGAGTGAGAGAGACAGAGTGTTGAGAGTGTGAATGTAAGCATAAGTAGTGAGTGTGTAAGGAGTAAGGGAGGGGGGCGCATGGTAGTTTTTTTATCTATACAAGCTAATGGTAAATTTTTCTTTGTCTCAAGTAGGTACATGTGTGACTCATTGTTTGAATATTATTATATTTGTCGACAGTTGGCAGACATTGCAACAAACAGAGAGAAACTCGTCACAATATCTAACTCTATGATGTCATTGCATAAAAGGGTGCAGTCATTACAGGTAAACAAAACTATTTTTCTTAACAACTATTATTTATTTATTTTCAGCCATGATCATCCCACTGCAGGGCAAAGGCCTCCCTACGCTCCTTCCACTCCTCTCTAAGTCTCTATGTAAAGCTTTTTGCGGCCAATCCTTGGTGCTTTCTCTTAAAACCAATCTCAATGTCAATGCAATTTCAATCCAATAAAATCTCAATAATGATTCATTGTCAAAACTATACAACCCCTATCGTAGCTTTTGAAATAGCATTCAGAGTACGGAATATAAAGCCAAACTCAATAGCATTTAGTTCGTTCAATATCCACGCAATAAGGATGCAATGGGCGCTAGTGTTGCGAAATTTCACAATACCAAAATTGATCGATCGGAATTGGATTCAAGAGTAAGCCAGCTTTCATAAATGTCTAATTCGACCCGCTGTCTCCTTTTGGGCCTGTCGCGACGTCTACTGACATATAACATAATTTTAATTCTTAAAAACTAAATTATTTGAGTTAGGTATTTATTATTATTTTTAGCTATGGTGGTCCTACGGCAGGGCAAAGGCCTCCCTCCCATCTTTTCACTCCTTATAGCTTTCTGTGGCCAATCCTTTTCATAGGTAATAATCATTTTAATTAAAACACGTTTTTTTTAGAAATTCTTGGTATTGTTTCTTGGTATACTAGCTACTGCCAGTGGGCAGAAGCAGTGGCTTCATCCACTTTCCTGTGGGATAAAAACTCTCTATATTGGTCCAGACCACCTATCTCTGTTCCAAATTTCATCACAATCCTTTCAGCCGTTTTGACGTGATTGATTGAGTAACACAAATTCAAAACAACATCACGTCATAGTATAAAACAAAGTCGCTATCCGCCGTCTGTCTGTCTCCATGTATCCTTAGACGTTTAAAAGATGTCGCGGAGAACCTAACGGGTAACCGGGGCTCCGACTCGACGTGCAGGAGAAGGAACGGGGTGGTTTTTAGTCAGTAAGAGTCTGACACTCCCTTCCGCATCACTCAGGCGGGAGCAGTCATTCGATGATTTTCCCCCCTTAAAAAAAAAGACGTTTAAAAGATAGAGTGTTCCTTAAGGAAGTTTTATATGTATATGTTACGGCTAATACCCGAAGTGCGGCTATACCTAGTTTTACCCGGTTATAACTAGGTGTAGCCATTTACTCTTGGTTAAACCTAGTACGAGCCGATTGTTTTCGCGTAAAACTAGGTCTAGCCTTCATCATGCCGGCTACACCTAGGTCCAGCCACTCTCTGTTGGATAAAACTAGAAGCAAACAAGTTGAAACAAGTAACAGGCGCCTGGCTCGCGCGCCCCTGCCGTACAAAACAGACGTACTTTCTTGTTTTTGCTCACTCATACTTTCGAATTCAGAATGGCTATGAATGAAGACCTACAGACTATGAAGTCAAGTTTTTTGGAACAGTTTTAGTGTTTATTAGCCACAAAACATAGTTAAAATCAAAGCTATATGAATGATGTGCAGTATTCTAAGTTCTTCATCATCAGACCCTTATTGGCAATCACATACCACCTAGGTATAAAGTCCTCTTCGATACAAATTAATCAAACCCAAACACAATGTAGCTACTGTTAACCGTTGAGGTGTTCCCTCGACTGCCTATCGGCTCCATCATCAGATCAGCTCCAGACCGTTATGAGATTGTAGTGGTTTTAAATATTTAACGAATAAATTAATAAACGCACTAGTCGCCCCTATAATTTTTAAAAGTTCCCCTTGGTTTCCCTGGGATTTCATCATCAGATCCTGACTTCACGACAATCGGACCAAATGACAAACCTACCTTTCAAACAAAAAAATAATTTTTGAAATCGGTCCAGGCGTCTTCGAGTAGTCGAGTAACAAACAAAAAAAATTACGGTCGAATTGAGAACCTCCTCCTTTTTTTAGAATTCCTTTGAAAACTAAGACACGCGTTGCTGCTGCAGACGCTGTGAGTCACACTCGCTAGTAGACCTGCAGTAGATCAGCAGCACCTGGCGCTCACGACCTGCAGAGGCGCGTGCCACGCTATGCCCTCCACCCCGCGCCGCTGCTGCAGATGCTGTGAGTCATGAGTGTGACGCGGGGTGGAAGGCGGGACACGCTTCCAAGTTTTAAAGGATTGTCTGGACCTACTCCCAAAGCGTCTCCTGCTATCTCTCGAAAATGATAGAGTATATTCAATAGGTTTCGAGTAACCCACGAAATGGATCGAGGACGCTCAATAGATTTCGAGGACGCTCGACTTATTTCGAGTAACTCGCAAGTGATCGAGGACGCTCGATTGTTTTCGAGGACGCTCGATTGTTTTCGAGGACGCTCGACTGTTTTCGAGGACGCTCGATATAATTCGAGGACGCTCGATTGTTTTCGAGGACTCTCGATTGTTTTCGAGCACACTCGATAGATTTCGAGGACGCTCGATTGTTTTCGAGGACTCTCGATTGTTTTCGAGCACACTCGATAGATTTCGAGGACGCTCGATAGACTTCGAGGACGCTCGATAGATTTCGAGGACGCTCGATTGTTTTCGAGGACGCTCGATAGATTTCGAGGACGCTCGATTGTTTTCGAGGACGCTCGTTTGTTTTCGAGCACACTCGATAGAATTCGAGGACGCTCGATTGTTTTCGAGGACGCTCGATAGTTTTCGAGGACGCTCGATTGTTTTCGAGCACACTCGATAGATTTCGAAGACGCTCGATAGATTTCGAGGACGCTCGATTGTTTTCGAGGACGCTCGTTTGTTTTCGAGCTCACTCGATAGATTTCGAGGACACTCGATAGATTTCGAGGACACTCGATTGTTTTCGAGGACGCTCGATAGAATTCGAGGACGCTCGATTGTTTTCGAGGACGCTCGATTGTTTTCGAGGACTCTCGATTGTTTTCGAGGACTCTCGATTGTTTTCGAGCACACTCGATAGATTTCGAGGACTCCCGATTGTTTTCGAGGACGCTCGATAGTTTTCGAGTACGCTCGATAGATTTCGAGGACGCTCGATAGATTTCGAGGACTCTCGATTTTTTTCGAGGACTCTCGATTGTTTTCGAGCACACTCGATAGATTTCGAGGACTCCCGATTGTTTTCGAGGACTCTCGATAGTTTTCGAGGACTCTCGATAGTTTTCGAGGACTCGATAGTTTTCGAGGACGCTCGATAGATTTCGAGTAAGTCTCGAGAGTGATCGAGGTCGCTCGATAGATTTCGAGTAAGTCTCGAAAGTGATCGAGGACGCTCGGCTTCAAATTAGGGCGCCACTAGGATAAGGCACCAAAAAGTAAGCTCAGACGGTTTTTTGTATCGGATTGGGAGCGCTATCAACCAGGAGTGGGTGGTGAGTAGTAGTAGATTCTCCTTATTTTACCAGTTCTACCTTTTACAGAAACCGATTACTTGTGTTTAATTTGGGGCGCCACGCCACGCCCAACTGGTATAATAATAATAAGGGTCTAGAACTCTCAGATTTTACAAAGCTGAGATCACTCTCCGCAAACGATACATACAAGTACCTGGGTATGTCAGAAGGATTAGGCATTAATGGAACGGACATGAAGCAATCGTTACAGAAGCGCTTCTTTGGCCGTCTGAATAAGGTACTGAAAAGTTCCTTATCAGGCGGAAACAAAGTGCGAGCCTTTAACGGGTGGGTCATGCCAGTCCTAATGTATTCTTTTGGTGAACTCAAGTGGACTCAGATTGAACTTGATACCCTGGATAGGCGAGTCCGGACACTGCTGACAGCAAATCGCATGCATCACCCTCGTTCGTCGGTGATGAAGTTGTATATCCCGCGGAAGTGTGGTGGTCGAGGCTTATTAAATGCTAAGACCCTTCACAACCGTGAGTTCAGCGGTGAAGTAGCAGCGAGTGCGGTGGACATATCCACCGCTGCTACTTCCCTTATCCTTGGCAAAAGACAACTGGCGCAAACCTGTGGCACTGAGCGTCAATGATTGCAAGGAGGTATGGCATAGCAAGGAGCTCCACAGACGCTTCTTCCGGGCCCTTCATGGGCCCAGTGTAAATTTTCTAGCATCCGTGTCTTGGCTACGATTCAGTAATCTCTTTGGGGAAACTGGAGGATTTGTCTGTGCAATAATGGACGAAGTTATCCTTACGAATAACTACCGGAAATATATAATTAAGGATGGGACGGTTGACATATGTAGGGCATGTCATAGTCCTGGTGAATCCATTAGACATATTATTTCTGGTTGTGGTCGTTTGGCTAACAGTGAATATTTGCATAGGCATAATCAAGTAGCCAAGATTATCCATCAGCAACTTGCTTTACACTATCGACTTGTTGAGTCTGAGGTACCGTACTACAAGTATGTGCCCGACCCAGTTCTGGAAACCATATCACATTGTACTGGGACCGGTCTATCATTACTGACAGGACTATTGTAGCTAATAAACCTGACATAGTGGTGATAGACCGGTGGTGGTACGCCACACGATAATAATCACTGACATCTCAGGACGCTGGCGTTAGGTGGATGGATCAAGGGCATGATACAGAAGGCAGTTCTCCTAGAAACGGCACGTATTGTGAGGAGGTTTCTATCTCTGGAGCCCTAACCACCGGTAGCTTGGACCATGCTCCCGCTACTGGTTGGCTCCTATATTTTATATTTTTAAACATTATTTTTTATTTAATAAGTAGTATTTAAAAATGTTATTTGTAGAGAATTTTAAATAAATATATGTAAATAATAATAATAAAGCCGCAGGGCACCTTGAGGCGAGGTGACGGGCATTAGCGACCCCGCGGGCTACCATCATCCCGAGTGCTCCAGGGAGAAGTCACCGTTCCTTAATTGGGCTTGCCTTAATTGGCTGGCTGGAGTCGAGTTCTAGCCGGAATGATATCGGATAGACCTAGTTTTATCCAACAGGAAATGGCTGGACCTAGTTGTAGCCGGCTTGATGAAGGCTAGACATAGTTTTACCCGAAAACAATCGGGTCGTACTAGGTTTAACCAAGAGTAAGTGGCTACACCTAGTTCTAACCGGGTAACACTTCGGGTATTCGACGTAACATATATAATACATGCATATTGCACCGCAAGTTAGTGTTCCAGTCGCTAGTTTATCTTAGTAAGATTATATGACAAATGGCTAATTCCCTATCCTTTATCATCATCATCATCATCAACAGCCTGTTTTCGTCCACATACATACTCTACTCCTTGCCCTTTCTTCTTTCTGGGAATGTCAAAGTCAAAGCATTAATTATAATTAATCTGTAATTAAGCACTTTTATAACGCCAAAATTGATTACCCTTCAATCTATCAGTGCAGCTAGATGCTTGTTTCAAAGTGGAGTTTCGAATGGAGAAGAATGAGAAAGAACCTTCTTTGTTAATTATTAAGTTAGCACCATTGTACGCGGGAATCGGGAGTACCATCTCCCCGCCCCCGCTTCTACCACGCGCACGCCAACGCGAGTCAGTCCGCCTCCGCTTGCCATCGCGTGATGCATTGTTTATGTTTTAATCATAATCTATGTATATAAAAATGAAACCTGTTTCCCGTTGTCACGCCACGACTTGAGAACGGCTAGACTGATTTGGCTGATCTTTTTTTTTGTATTTGTTATTGTCAGGAGAAGGTTCTTATGACAGAAAAAATCTTGAAAATCCTATGGGAACGAGAGAAAACGGGACTGCGCGTACGAAGTCGCGGGCAGAAGCTAGAATTTACATAATTTTTTCCGTTGGCAGTCACAAATCACACATTTATTAAGATTGATGAACTTTTTTCATTTAATATTAATAAAAGATGTTATATTTTCCAGAATAGAGCAGCAAATGTAGAGAAAGCAGCTAAAGTTAAGGCAGCCGCTAACAAACCACCTGCTTCAAGTAGCTAGTGCCTCTATGAATGGTGATCGAAGAGAGCTGAATGAATCTAATTGTTTGACATGCGTTATGGTGAGTCTGACTTCAAACTTATGTCAATAGAGAATCTAAGATATAAGATTATAGAATTGTTTAATTAGTTGTAGTTCCTTCATAACAACGCCTTTTATCCGCGAAGGTAGGCAGAGTTGCACATTACGGCACTTAATGCCACTGTACAATGTAACACCCATTTTTCACTATTTATGTTATGGATCCCATGTAACAGGGGGTGAGTCTATTGCCATATACCGGGCACATTTCACGACACCGTGCTCCAAACCCAAGACCCCTTGCGCGGCAGTCGCACTTGCGACCACTCGGCCAACGAGGCAGTCATTTCATAGTTTTTTCATTTATACTTAAAAATATGGTTTTTCGGTGTTTAATGTTGTTTTCAGTTTTTGTAGCTATATGACGAGGAATTAGTGTTTATGTCATCTTTCAAACTGTTAAATGATTATTCTTGTTGTTGAATGTATTTTATTTATGTTGTTTTAGTACTATCTGTTTTGTATTTAGTTAAGTTTCTTCTCTGACTGAGAAAAGTAAAGTTTGGTTAGAGTGACTTACTGCCAATTTCTATACCTAACATGTCTCAATCCAAAATGTGTGGATTAAGATCGATTTTTGACAGAAACTTCGTACAACTACTATCAATAATAGATCTATATCGACACATTTCGGATTAAGATAGTTTATTGTAATTGGCAGTTAGTAAGACGGCAAAAGATATTTAATTCATTATAATATTCGCTGAAAAAAATTAAACGAGTTGTATTGAATCTTTATTTATTTTAAACTTAAATTACATAAATCGTAAGTACTAATTAATAATAAATATTATATTTTACTTAAATATATTGATAACAATTATATTTACTTGTTTAAGGCTAGAGCCACTCGGCAACTGGTAGTAGTATAAAGAACAAAATATAGATGGCGTTGCTTACGATTTGCCCATTTTACATAGAAATATTTATTAATAATGTTGTAGGTTATAATACAAAAAAGTTTAAATATTTATTTTATTGTTAACTTGAATGGTAGCATATAAACTAAACAGACCATGTTGTTTCACATACCTGTCTCTATTTATCTTTAAAAAACTTCATACATTAAAGAGAGATAGACTATTTACGAGCTTTGGCATAGTCAAAGAAAAAGAGCATATAATTGGTTGATACAAAGTCACAATTTGTGAAATAACACAGTCTGTCTAGCCCTTAGCAGCTTTAAAATCTGGCTATATAGTAGACATTTTGGTGCACTGTAAAACTATTAAAAACTTACTATGTAATTTTCTATTGTTCCTTATAACTAACATTCCTAAAGCGTGGATATAAAAGAAAATTGTTTTAAATGGTGTCTTTTCTTAAAAAAAAACTATTTCATAATACATTGACATCAGCAGACGATTATATAAGACCCAATAAGATGTAAAAACATGTATAATATTTCAATAATTACTTCTTACTATGACAACTCAGTTACATTCCTCCCATATCCACGCTCTAAAATTAAAATTAACGTAAATATAAAAACTGCTATTTAAAATAATCGTTATCGCTACTCTAACAGTTATTGTCTATAAGCATATATTGAGATGTTCAACTTATTCTAAAGTTTAAATGTGCCTAAGACTAGTTAGATTTCTTTAAGTAACTTATATATTAACCACTTTAAAATGGCAGTAAAGATTCACAAAAAATGAAGTACTGTACAATAAATATAATATGCAATATGAAAATAAAAGCAATATTTTTTTGGATTTTTTATTAGTTTTATTTTTTGTGCTGGTATTAATAAGTGCAGGTCAATTACGTGACAACACTAACCCCACGGGGATTTTGACCCTTCAATGTTGCCAAAGCAAAATATCATTTTGCTACCAATTCCTTTATACTTTTTTCTTACGTTTTTACAATCGATATGTGTTAATACAATAGTGACAACGCCTATAGTTGTAATATTTAAGATTAATTATATAAAAAAATATAATATTAATCTCTTAATACCTAATCGGTCGGAGATCGTACACTAAATAATTTAATCGCGGTCTTACATAATTTTAGTACAAGATTTTGATTAGCGAAAATAATGTCAACGTTACCTTATTCTACACACTGAAGAATACTGCATTTAAACACTGTTTATTTAAAAACCTACCAGATATTTCAAAATCTACACAAAATTTAATCAGAAATACTACCAAAAATGGTAGAAAAAATTATCTTCGCTGACCAAATTTCTTAGTACTGTTCAATAATAAGATACCCCATTTAGTGTTCACTATTCTAGTGGTTACACATATAGGAGTTACCAGATGGGTCGGATGTTATTTACGCAGGTAAGCCTCGGTGACGTCACTCAGAACGGTCACGACGAACGACTCGATTCCTGATTCGTTTTCACCTCTCGCGATGCGGAAGTAACCGTCTTCACCCCAAGCTGTGCCCCAACTGTTGGCGACAATCTGTGGAAAGAAATTGGAATTTAGAAAGATATTTTATCTAATTGTGTGAAAGAAAATGGAACTTGTGAATGATTCCAATATTCGCGTCTGTGTTGATCCCAATTACCATTGGTTTGGTCCTTATCTACAATTTGGTATTAAAGTAGGTATTGATTACAATAGTCTAAGTAACTTAGAATAAATAAAATGAGTTCATTTAAGAGAAACTTTAAACTACCATTTTTAATTGATTTTCAAGAACAGGCAACACTAGCGTTTGTATGTCGGTAAAGTACATTCAATTGACTATTTATAAAGTGTACGACTAGGGAAAGTCCCTTGTTTTATTGCCATACTTAATTCTGTTATAGGTTAGGTACATTTGATAACAGGATTGAAGAAGTATCTATCTGTCTACCATAAAAGGGTACCTTCCCGTAATAATTATTGAATGTCGGCTTTGTAGACTATAATACCTAATGCTTCGTTAATCTATTTATAAGTAACTACTTACGAGAGTTGATTCTAATAGAACAGATACTCATTAATATTTACATTAATAATATCAAACAATAATAGCACTTATTCTAAAATAATTAAAGTATATATTTGCTTACCCAGTATTTGTCTTGGTTGTCCTCGCCCCAGCCGACGATTCTGACGCTGTGTAGTCCCTTCAGCTCATTGTTACCGAAGTGAGAGCGGCGGTACACACCATCCTGGTAGTGGAAGAAGTCTTGGTAGACTGTCATGACAGCTGGAACAAGGAACATTGAACTTTAACATAATTATCTTTAAGTCGAGATTTTTGTTTCTCATGGGTAAGTACTAGTTATAACTAGTTAAGCAAATGGGTAACTAACACCTTTAGAGCCTAATAACAGCCTAATACAATGCGTATAGAAAACCTAGCTTCTAAGCAAGGTTCGACTCCAAATTTGCAAGGAAATATTCTTAACATTTTTCAATTTCAGTTTGCTATTGGACACAATATGGAGCCAGTGTACTACATAACTAGGTAATAGTTCCAGTGTAACCATAGCTACCTAGGCTTGTCGGGGATCGCGGGACGGTCTTCGGCCACCGTAAGCGCGGGCCTGCGGACGGCGAGCATGGGTGGCTCCCCGTCCGACCAGAAACAGACCCGAGCGTACGGCGCGTCGCGTTCCGCGCTCGCCTCGTAGAGCCATCTAGAGCCATCAGACCACCACAGATGGGGCCCAACAGGGCCGATGCCGATTCGGAGTCGCGGAGAACCTAACGGGTAACCGGGGCTCCGGCTCGAAGTGCAGGAGAAGGAACGGGGTGGTTTTAGTCAGTAAGAGTCTGACACTCCCTCCCGCCTCACCCAGGCGGGAGCAGTCACTCGATGATTTTCCACCCTTAAAAAAAAGGCTTTCGGCATGTTTGCAAAAGTGCAAAACTTTTGCAAATGCCATGCACCTATTCCTTCCTTTTCAGGGATAAAAGTCAAAATATAGGATGAAGGTACTTTTTAGGCACTCTGTGTACGCAGTTGTTTTGAAAACAACATATTATTCAGATTCCTGGAGTGCCGAAATTATCTTATCAACCGTCAATATACAAATAAGACATTCCGATAATGTTTTACTAAATAAACACTTCGAAATGCCGATATGTAGATAGCTAAGTGATCATCAGATCCACAGGAAAATTCTCACACAACTACATATTATTATCAAGCTATGCAAAACCAGTATAAATTGATCGTCGTATGTGCAGATAGATCACACAAAGCGCGTCCACGATAAATTGGATTTGTGCAGCTTTATGTGTGTGTACCAGGAAAGATAGAATCAATGTCAAAGAGGGTGTTTTTTTTAATGTATTTAGCGAATGTTTACGAGGCAATAAACATGTTAAATTGTTTAAATTCAGTGAATTTGGTAACCGGTTGCGTATCTTATCTGGTTATGTTGAATTGGAAAATTTCCCATTACATGCATAGGTAACATCTTGTTTAACATAATAATGTAATTTTTTATTAGGCAGGTAATTAGGTGTTTTTTTTTTAAGGGGAGAAAATCATCGAATGACTGCTCCCGCCTGGGTGAGGCGGGAGGGAGTGTCAGACTCTTACTGACTAAAAACCACCCCGTTCCTTCTCCTGCACGTCGAGTCGGAGCCCCGGTTACCCGTTAGGTTCTCCGCGACAGGTAATTAGGTGTACTAGGTACCTAAATCGACCTATGCAGTGCATGTACAAACATTGGTAATTCAACAAAAGACCTAAGTGCCTATTCTGAGTTTCCAATATTTCTATTGTCCCTAACAAACTTTCTTAATAACTGGGCTCAAGAATCGAATCGTACTCAATATTTCAGTCGCCCTTGCTCGCTAGAACTGACGCATCTACCTACTAACGGTTTTAAAAATGTTGCTTAATTTTACTTTACCGCTTAACATTCAGCAAAAATGCAAAGATGGTGTAGGAAAAACAGACAGTATCGAAAATCTTTCACATATTTTTAAAGTCTACCTAGATATCACGCAAACACTAGGTACGTCTAGACTTTTAAATTAAACACTAGTATCTAACCACGCTTTTATAAAATAATATCAAAACAATCTGAAATACCTAACGCATAGATTTAAACAACACCTGAATTTTAGCAAGGTTGCCTAAAATACTTTAAAATGGCGCCCTCATTCATAAAGATAAAATTACAGTGCCCGACAATAAATATTGCACACCGACTTTTGGAAAAAGTTCATTTTGTGTGATAGTGTGATTTTTCTATCTCATGATCGACTAGTTTAGCGGCTCATATTATGGAAGATGATTAATTTTTATTTTAATGTCCGTCCGTCCGATTATTTCAAAACAAACACGTTATTTTTTACGGAAACGAATAGTTTCGAATACTTATTGATTTGAAATGTTGCGTGATGTCACTTAGGTATTACTACTACAGACTGCTCACTGAGGCTCAAACCACACGGGCGGCGCCGCTGCGGTTTTCTACATACAAAAATGCATTGTAGCCACATGGCGCCGTGCGGTGTGCTCCGGCGCCGCGCCGCGAGCGCATCGGAATCGAGACGAGGCGGGGAAGGGTCAAAGCAGAGCGGAGCTGGAGCGGCGCCGCTCGCAGTTGTTTGTTTGCGCAGCATAGAGCAGGAGGAAGGAGGGTTGGATTAAGCCAAATGCCGCTGCGGCGCCGCCGCGGCTCGGTAGAACGTTGCGACGCCGCTCTGCCCGTGTGGTCGCCAGCGCTTCGAAATGTCTTGCGGTGCGGCGCTGCACCGCCCGTGTGGTTTGCCTTCTCTCTATGTACATTTTATACGTAGAAATGACGTTTTAGCCCCCACTCCTAAACTTTAATTCGTTATAACTAAGTATCATTTTATTATACAACAAAATAAAAAAATACGTGTCTAATATTTTTTCATTACCTAACTGACGGTTTCTGAGTATTATAGGTATGATGTATCCTGTCATCATACCTATAATACTAATTATTATTATTTTGACTTACTTACTCACATAACTGTTTGACGAAGAATGCGACAAGTTTCAAGCCATACTAGAGACTCATATACATGAGCAGCAGTCCGCGACACGCGACGCGGCGACTGTCGTGTCGATTTATTGAGTAAGCCGAAAACATAATAATTATGTAACTGTGAATTTGAACTTTCAATGTATGTTCCATCGCATTCTTGCCCCTTATTGGTCCAGATTATTTTCCCATCCAATTACATGGTCCGGCCCGCGACGGAGTTCATAGTGAACGGGCTAATAGCACCCGTTCAGGAGAGTTGTCAAATGTCAGGTAGATTGGCGCGCGGTTTGGAGATTGTAGTCAAGAATAGAATAAAGAAGAATAGCCTTGTTAAACTTTTCTGTACCGTATACTGCGGTATACGGGGCTTGCCGTATTGTGTCTTTCCAAAGGTCGATGTGCCGGGTACTGTACCAAATTAAGTCAACATGAAAATACCTACTTACAAGAAGGCTACTGTTATAGTACGTAATCTCTTTAAACCAGTGTATTGCCGTGATTTTCTTATCTCCATCATACAAGGACCCGTTTGTAATATTTGTTCGTATAGATAGTAACCAAGGTTAGATAAAAATAACAGATTTCGGATGGAGTGATCGAATTTTTGTAAGGTTATCTCTTGTTAATCTACGTAGGTTGGGTTACTAAAATGAATGGCTTTATTTTTGCACACTTATCATAATAATGTACGTATGTACCTAAGTATGTTAGTCAGCCGAGTTGTTTGGTATTTATGGGTAAGAAGATATAAGATTGATTGTGTGCCGATTTACCGAAACGTGTTAACTATCGAACAGATTGATTGCGCATTATGAACTAAGACTTTTACTTAACTCAAAAAAGACGATAGCTATTCAGATTTAGATATGCTAGAAATATTTGTATCATCAGCGCGACTGTTCAGCCCCAGAGACTTAGAACTCCCCTTCATTTGTTAAATGTAACACCCACTTTTTATTTGCACTTGGATATACTTTCCTAATGAGATGCGCGGCTAATCTCGCCATAAATAAGCATATCTAATCATAAAATGGGGCTTGTTTCATCTCCACTAGCCTAATAGGACACCTTCAAAGAATCTAAGCCAAAAGTATCCATAAAACACCAACCTTGCACAGGTCCTGACTGCATGATATCGAACATGATGTCGCGTTCCTTCACCAGCCTGCCGGGAGGTCCGACCTTGTACCTGGAGGTGCGCTGAGGGACCACGGGGACGCAGCGGTCGGTGAGGAGGTTACCACGCTTCTTGAAGGGGCAGTGAGTGAACTTGGCCTTGTAGGGGAAGCACTCTTCGTCGACTAAGCTGGAGGGGAGACAATACAATGATTAATGGTTTCTGGTGCTAAATATGATAGGAAGGTCGTAGATATCTATGACCTTTCATGAAATAAACATCAAAATTGATAAGTAAGTCTTGCTAGGCGTAAAAATTTAGAACAGGTTGACATTGACGTCTAATAACATCAAGAAAACTAGATTCTTTATGATCAAAAACTGAACAAATAACATCCTTCTGTATTTTAAAGGACACACTACTTCTGGACAACATTCCACTTTTTGACAACATCGTCTTCCCCTTTTTCTCTTTTCTCATTTCTTAACCAAAAAATATAAAAAGGGTTTATATTTTTTACCCATGGTTCTTGGCGAAGATCCAGGCGGTATCAATATTGCCACCGCGGCATTCCTGCTGCTGCTTGTTGTTGCACGACAGTAGAGTTTGAGGACTCAGGATCACCTTCTCAGCTCCGTTGGACTGGATCGCAAATCTGTAGGCAAAAATAATACAGTTTAGGGTGCCGTCTGAAAATCAGTGTTGGGCATGTGGGCTCAACTTAATGCTGAGATGGAGACCCTTTTGGCAAGGGCACGCGCTATTGAATGTAATGCATATCTTAGTCTTATTAATACACCTATTTAATTTCTGTATTATTCAATTGTCACTATTTTGTTATCATTGTCATTACTCTTTTCAGTTTATTATTATTGTTTTGTATTATCTACCTTTATGAGTATGTTTATTTTTTGTATGTGTGCGTCTGTCAAATAATTTTCCTTTCTTTCTTTCTAGGGTGTCACTTATTTATAATTAAATTTATTTATGTATGTATATCTCCGAAATATATTAGTTTATCTTTCATTGTTAAATAAAACCACTGCTTGCCTCTTGCACCTACCATTTACTCTTCTCTGCATCACCCAAAGGTCAGACTGGTAGAAAATGCCTGCGGCATTAAGTCCACCTTTTTGTACATTTTGTGCATGAATCATTTTAAATAAATATTTGAATTATTTTTGGACTCCCCGTAAGCAGAGGAGTATTTTTAACGAGTTAACTATCACTGACAAACCGAGTTAACCAACATCCCTGATGCAAAAAATACCAGTTACTTCTCCATTAGCTGCCTACGCCAATGGAGGGTCTATTCACGTCATCGCCATAAGATAAATAGAGGAATAAGTACTCAAAAAATAAAGGCTTCTTTCATTTCATAACAGCTTCTAATCAAAAACCAATTTAAGTATAAAGAATCTAATAAACTTGCTAATATATCACCGTCCGATAATACCGGATGACAAGCAGTGAGATATTCATTTAGCAGTAAATCAGAAATCCATTTTAAAATCGTCATTCGTCACGATGTCGTGACTCGTTTCGTGACTGACCGAAAGTGCAAAGCAAGAAAGCACGAGTCTGTCTACCTTACGTAGTTACTTACTTACGTAGGTCTATGTAGGTATAGTGATTCTTTTATAGATCTGTCTATCGCAACGTAGTCACAACTGTTATTTGATTGAAATAAGACTTAGAACTACTACTAGGGTGGTGGTAATCCGACAATTTTTAGGATTTTTATTTGAGAAACAAATAAGTAACAAAGCCATTTGAAGTGTCCAAATAACATAACATCACGCCTTTTATCCCCGAAGGGGTAGGTCAAGGTGCACGTTATGGCACTTAATGCCACTGTACAAAATAGCACCCACTTTTCACTACTTATGTTATGAATCTCATGTAGTAGGGGGTGAGCCTATTGCCATATACCGGGCACATTTCCAGACTCCGTGCTGCTACTAATTTTTTTTTTATTCTGAAAAATCCAGTAATACTTTAATCGAACCCCAGACCGGCAGTCGCACTTGCGACCCCTCGACTCACTCGTAATCTAGTAAGATTTCAGAAAAATAGTCATTTTTCAGGACTTTTATTTGATAAACAAGTAACAATGCCATTTTAAGTTTCCAAACAATGGCAACACAATCAGTATATTAAACTAAGAATGTGAATCTTCGATAAAAATCATCATCATCTACCTACCAGTGGTATCAGCATCTGTTTTAAATAAACTGTCAAACACCGCGAGGATACGGGTGACCGCAACCTATTGTTCTTTAAACTGTCAAACACCAAACTGTCAAGAACCTAACGGGTAACCGGGGCTCCGACTCGACGTGCAGGAGAAGGAACGGGGTGCTTTTTAGTCAGTAAGAGTCTGACACTCCCTCCCGCCTCACCCAGGCGGGAGCAGTCATTCGATGATTTTCCCCCCTTAAAAAAAAATGTTCTATAATTGTATCTATAATGACGGTAATCGACGAGTTAATTGTGTCTATAATGACGATACTCAACGAGTTAAACTTTGTGACGTCACTTTAGACTTCTCAACACTAAAAACCACAAACAACTTGAACAATACGCTCCTACGTAACCAAGTATCCGACTCCAAAAATAGCCACAACGGAGGTGCAAAATAAAACACACACGCTCATATTTCCAAGTAGTACTACCTTTTTGTTCTACCTGGCTTGGCTTCCCTCAAGTGGAAGGCCCTTGTTTTATTTTTAGCCCCGTCTCAGCTCACAACGACATGACTTATGCGAATAGTGTATTCTTATGTTACCGCCAAGCATTCCTTTAGTGGTTTGTTAGAAACTGGATGACAAGAATCTGTGTAGATTCATTCTTACTTAAAAATGAAAATGAAAACATCCTTTATTGCGGTATTGCCATAACATAACATCACGCCTTTCTTCCGCGAAGTGGTAGGCAGAGGTGCACATTACAGCTCTTAATGCCACTGTACAATGTAACACCCACTATTCAGTATTTATGTTATAAATCCCATGTAATAGGGGGTGAGCCTATTGCCATATACCATACCAGGCGCTATTTCAGACTCCGTGCTACTACTGAGGATTTTTTATTTTAAAAAACCCAGTAATATTTTTACCCGACCCGGGAATCAAACCCAAGACCCCTTGCCCGGCAGTCGGACTTGCGACCACTCGGCCAATAAGGCAGTCATTATTGCAATAAATAAACACATTCACTGGGTGATCGTATTTGGGAGCACTTTTTAAGCAAGATGTGCATATGTTAGGAGACCAAAAGTTTGTGAGGTTGTCTGTTTGTGTGTTCGTATGTTTGTTACTCATTCACGTCAAAACGGCTGAAGCGATTGGTATGAAATTTAGAACAGAGATAGATTATCTCATGTGGTAACATGGGGTACTTTTATGCCTCGGGAACGGGCGAAGCCGTGGGCGGAAGCTAGTTTGATTATAAAGGTTAAAATGAATGAAGTGTTTTGTTAATTGTGACGTCTAATCTGTTCTCTGAAGAATAAACGGGGGATGTACTGTATCTCTGCGATCAAATATCGACAATTTGTAACAGTCTACTGCTTAACTAGAGACTATATTTATAAGTGTTCTACACTCAGTAGGCGAGTATCATCAATCACAGTTTAAAAGAATGTTGAGTTGAAAAAAGGCAAATATATCTGTGTAAATTGCATTCGAATTGGATCAGTAGTTTTCACGTGAAGCGCGCACAAACGTACAGACAGAAAATAAATCTGATCACAGTTTTGGGTTCTTTATCGATGTAGCAACACGCCCCGCTAATATTTTTTTAAATATCTTTAATGTACAGACCTTATGCTTCTATAGTATTAGACCTAAATGCCATAACTTACCTATCAGAAGCAATAGTAGCCAGCGACACGGCCCAGTCAGACCCACACCAGCCCTGGTCTACCACGGGGGAGATGTAGTTCTTCCAGTGCTGCCTGGCATCAAACTGAGGTGGGTAGGGAATGTCCTTGTCGTAAATGATAGGTCCCAAGCGGGCGGTCTCACGGCTCAGCGGTAGGGTTCCTGCAAAGATGTGAAAAGTTTAATTATTGATTTTTAGTTTTAAACATAAAATATTGTAAAAAGAGTAGGGAAAAAGATTAGGTTAATTAATATACTTTAGTCCTAACGCGGATAACGAAGATGGGTATTTTTAATAGTATTTTTATTTTTAATATAGGTCGAAATAGAGAAAAACAAATGCTACATAGATATAATAACTATCCCTGAGGGTGGAGGTGATAGTGTTCTATATTTCTTCACTGTTACTGGTTAAGCTTCAGGAGCCATTACTAGATTGCTATGATTATTATTGTAATTTAAAATTTTTTAGACCCCGATCGAACTCGAGTCTTCTTATAAGTAAGTAAAGTCAGGCTAACATCACACATACATAGTCGTACTAAGAATATTCTAATCTGAACTTCTAAGAAACTATACTAAGAACTTAGCACAATATAAGCCTCGGGCGATACCATTATAGATCAGAGATCTTTGTTCATGCGACATTACTTTCTCCTTTGTTTAGTTCAGTCTGAATACTTGTCTAGATCACCCTACTTTCATTTTACTTTTGTCATAGAGTTTGTTTTGATTTTAAACCTTTTGTCTTTGATGTTTTTAAGATGAAATCTTCATGAATTTTTTTTGTGTTTTTCTAGGCTAGATCTTATTTGTGAACTTTTGGTATGGAAATAATGTTTATTGCAAAATTACGTTTGTAACTGACCTAAGGTTTAGGCAGAAAAGTAACTAGCCAACCCATGTAGATCAGGGGGCTTACTCTTGAATCCAATTCCGATCGATCGACATTGGCATTGTGAAATTTCGTACTCTTGAGTTGCAACACTAGCACCCATTGCATCTGTATTGCGTGGATATTGAATGAACTAAATGGTATCGAGTTTGGATTTATATTCCGTAGTTAGAATGCTATTTTAACAGTTACTATTGGGTTGTATAGTTTTGACATTAGATAATTATTGAGATTATATTGGATTGAAATTGCATTGACATTGAGATTGGTTTCAAGAGTAAGCACCCAGGAGTCAGGGTTGCGGGCAATCTTGCGGGTTAGGTACCGAGGCTCCGGCTCGAAGCAGTAGTAGAAATTGGGTGAATTTTTTAGTCAGTAAGAATCTGACATTCCTTCCCGCCTTACCCAAAGCGGGAGAAGTCGTAATATGATGTCCCCTCCTCAAAAAAAGGCATTAGACGCACTAAGTACCCTTCTTTTGGGGTTAGAGTAGTAGGATGAAAAGGAATAGTGTGACCAGATTGGCGATATATTAAAGAATGGCCAAATTAAAAGTACCCTTAACCGACGCGCATGCATGAAAAGATTGATGACTGTTGATGGAGCGAAAGAGGTTACATACCTCTATTGGAATCGTAGTAATTGGCGTTCCATAGTCTCTGCCTACCCCCATGGGAGACAGCGTGAAGTTATGTACGTATGATAAAAAGGAATGACCATTTTATTAACCCCTGTTACATTACAAAACACTTTACATGTACTAAGGATTAAATCCGAGAATCAATAATCAATACATAGTATAAAACAAAGTCGCTTTCGCTGTATGTCCGTATGTATGCTTAGATCTTTAAAACTACGCAACGGATTTTGATGCGGTTGTTTTTAATAGATAGAGTGATTCTTAAGGAAGGTTTGTATGTATAATACATGCATATTGCACCCGTGCGAAGCCGGGGCGGGTCGCTAGTTAATTATTTATTTATTTATTTATTTAAGGAAAAACAAACAGTAACATATTACAAAATATACATAATTCAGCTTACACATTATACTTGGCAAATATGTTACCCACTACGTTCTCCACAGATTACTTTTTATATTAGATCTAGAGTGACACAATTATAAATGGTATCTAACAATAACTTCTGACCATTTTACCGTCGAGACAATTGTGTTTGTATTCTATTTCAGTATGATCTCTAGTCTACAATAAAATATATTAGTTAATGTTCTATTAACGTCAATTGTGGCTTGTAGACGCGGGTAGCAACACCGTATCAAACATTAAAAGTTATTGTAGACACGTGGTAGAGGGTGTTGTAGAATCTTTCATTTATTGTAACATGATATTAACTCGTCGAGCACCGTCATTATAGACACAATTAAAGAACAATAGGTTGCGGTCACCGGTGACCGCTTGGTGTTTGACAGTTTAACCCTATCTGATACTTAATGCGGTGGAAATGAAAGCCCTGAGAAGTATGTGTGGACTAAAATTGAGTGATCAAGTGGAAAATAGTGTTTTTAGAGAAAGGTATGGATTGAAAGATGATGTAGTGACAAGGATTGAAAATGGAATGTTACGCTGGTTTGGACATGTAGAAAGGATGGATGAAAGTAGAGTAACTAAAGAAGTGTACAGAGCGAATTTAAATGGGGCCGTCGGTAGAGGGCGCCTTGACGGACACAATTATACTGACCAGATCGGCGATATATTAAAGAAAGGCCAAATTAGAAGTACCCTTAACCGACGAGCATGCATGAAAAGACATGACTGTTGATGAAGCGAACGAGGTATGTAAGAATCGTAGCAATTGGCGTTCTATAGGCTCTGCCTACCCCCATGGGAGACAGCCATGAAGTTATGTATGTATAATAATAATAATAATAAAGGGCCTGATGCAGAAAGCAGTACTTCTGGACACGGCGCGTATTGTTCGGAAATTTCTTTCTCTGGAGCCCTGACCACCGGTAGCTTGGATTTCTCCCGTTACCGGTGGGCTACTGCTTTTTATATTTTTAAATGTTTTTTTTACATATAATGAAATATTTAAATCAAGTATGAAAATAAATAAAGGGAATAAAATAATAATAATAGTTTATTTACCACCAAACATACATAGATATAAATACATGACTGCAAATCTTAAAATCTAAAAGACATAAATGTAGGTAGTATGTCTGACATATGCCGAGGTCAATGTTAATCTTTGTTAAGAACGTATAAATAAAGCTAAGACCGCACTAAAATTGTGTGTTTCTATTTATCGTTTGTCTATCAGAGAGTAAGATTGTATTCTAATTATTCTTATCACATTAAGTATAATTAATGAATAATAACATAACATAATATCACGCCTTTTATCCCCGGATTTTGATGCGGTTTTTTTTAATAGATAGAGTGATTCTTAAGGAAGGTTTATATGTATAATACATACATGCATATTGCACCCGAGCGAAGGCGGGGAGGGTCGCTAGTATGACAAATATAAGATTTTTTTTTGTACCATCTTATAGAGGTAACACACTGTATATAACAAGTGACAATGTTTCCTAGCAACAATGAAGTGCATTGAAACAAATGACAGTGGTAAATACTCAAATCATAATCATAGCTTCTATGAGTATTGCTGAGCTTTATTCAATTTTATTCTAACAATGATAAGGTTTAAACTCATATGGCTATATCGGCGGAAAATTTATAAAGGACATGGTGAATGTTGGTCTAGTAATATTAGTTGATTAGTCCTAAAACCTTCTCTTAAATGCAATAAATCGAATGGTGCCCAATAGGGCTGATGCCGATACAGAGCCGCGAAGGACTTAACAGGTTACCGGGGGTCCGGCTCAAAGGGCAGGAGTAGGAACGCGGTGGTTTTTAGTCAGTAAGAGTCTGACACTCCCTCCCGCCTCACCCAGGCGGGAGAAGTCATTCGACGATTTTCCCCCCTTAAAAAATTGTAACAAATACTTTTCAGAAATTCGCACCAAACATACATACATCATACATATGAACATACTTACAAGTAAAACTGTAAACCTTCTTCCTTTTTTGAAGTTGATAGATGGTTTTACCCCTCAAAAAAGGATTTCTACTATCTGTACGTCGTTGGTTAGTTGGACTTCTAGTGGTAGAGGTAACAGGTAAAATAAGCATTTATTTTAAGGGGTGAAAATCAACGAATGACTACTCCCGCCTGGGAGATACAGGAGGGAGTGTCAGACTCTTACTGACTAAAAACCACCCGTTCCTACTCCTGCACGTCGAGCCGGAGCCCCGGTAACCCGTTAGGTTCTCCACAAAATAAAATAAGCTTAACAACTTACCAAGCTTATAAATAAGTCCATCTTTAAGTTTCTTGCCCTGAAACTGGCTGTAGTTGGCAGCTCTCCAGGACAGGCCAGCTTCTCTCACGTTCCTCAGCACCTCGTCGCTCATCAGACAAGGATCCTGGTCACACTTCCATTCGCTTCCACCTTCAGGGACCTCCGTGCATTCACTGTTGAAGAAATATATAGGTTAGAAGGTTCGTTAAGTTCAAATAACATAACATCATGTATTTTATAGGCAAAGGTACACATTATGCCACTGTACAATGTAACACCCACTTTTCACTATTTATGTCATGAGTCCCGTATAATAGGGGGTGAGCCTATTGTCCTATACCGGCCGCAGTTCCAGACTCCGTGCTACTACTGAGAATTTTTGTAACACATTACCCAACCCGGGAATTGGCCCGAAAACCCTTGCCCGGTAGTCGCACTAGCGACCACTCGGCCAATGAGGCAGTCTTTTAATGAATAAAGAATTTTAATTATCAAAAGTAAGAGCAATCATCAGTCGGCTCGTTTACCGGCTTTTGCTATAAAAAAAAATCGTAAAATATTTAGTTACAAAATCAAATCACTTATGAATTACACATAAGTATGAATAAATCAACTCAAGTTGTAACAATTCAGGGTCTCATAACAATATGAGTGCTACATTTAAAGTTATGTTACTCAATACTCAATAGGTACTCGGTATGACGTCATAAGGTCACTAGTCAGGGACTTAGATCTAGATAAGGTCTTTAAGAAGGTTAACTTTGGTGTTGTTGTTTATTTTAGGTAGTCTATTTAAAAAAAAAATGGCGGACATAATGTCACTTAGTATATAGAACTGATGGAAGCACCAAAATGTCAGTGAGTTATTTATCTTTTATAAAGATGTTGCCCCACAAGTACAGACACAAATAACATTCATGTGTTCGTGTGTAATGGGTTGCCACATTACCAGATTTAAAAAATGGCAGATGTCCTTCGTGTCAATGTGTTTGTATTCTGCGTGTAAGTCTATAGTAGCCAGGTGCCACAGCGGTTATTTCAAGAGAATGTGTCCGTCTTTTTTTCAGTCTTTGGTGACAGATTTTTTTTTATTTTCCGCTTTCTTGAATACAGGTTTACGTTTTCTTCGGTTCGTTTTTGTTTGGGATAACAATATCAAACAGTGCGTTCAAAAGTGCCGTTTTGGTTTAATTAAAATGATTTTGACTTTGACGAATTAATAACTTTGAAGGATTAATTATTATATCGATGGAAATACGACATACAACACTTTGTGACTCGAGTTATCGCTCTCTGGCGTTTTAGCTGAGCACTTGGCCTTTTTGCGCTATGTACACTATTTTACTATTTTTGTAAGTATTCTTCTTGTTTTAATTTTTGTTACGATGCCAATAAACTTTGCTTCTTTCTAAATATTAAATATCATCATGAACAGAACAGGACACACATTTTATGTCAGGTTAGTAAAATGCCTATGTGTTTGCCATATAAATCCAATACATAAGATTGTTTTCATTACAATGCTAACTTCAAATCAATTTTATTGTATTATATCATAACATCACGCCTTTTATCCCCGAAAGGGTAGGCAGAGGTGCACATTACGGCACTTAATGCCACTGTACAAAGTAACACCCACTTTTCATTATTTAAGTTATGAGTCCCATGTAATAGGGGGTGAGTCTATTGCCATATACCGGGCCCGGCCATATTTCCAGACTCTGTGCTACTACTACTGAGTTATCTTAGAAAAAGCCTAGCCCGGCAGTCGCATTTGCGACCACTCGGCCAACGAGGCAATATATTACATTATCTGTTTTACTAATCCTTTAGTGTACTATATTTTATTGCTGGCTATAAATCAACTATCAACAAAACTGCCACTTCAGTATTCAGAATGCATTTCGAAATTCGGAAATTCCAAAATCGATTCAAGAATAAATTTTATTGCCTAACAACCATTTTTCAACTGTTGCGCATATAAAACAGAGACAATAATCTGAAACTTCTGCTTCACATTAAGTAGGGACGCGACACATCGAGGTCGATACTCGATAATGACATTGTTTATCGATTGTAGGCGTCTGTTTATCGATAACTCGGAGACTCTTCATATGGCGATAATTGAAGCAATGATCAATGATGGTCAATGGAAATGATATTCAGTTACTCATTGTTTCTATATTTGTTTTAAGCTGCGACCCGTGCAACTTTACAAGCGAGTTTTTCAAATATTTCTTTAAACAATCAGAAGGAATCAATCAATTATCCAATCAAGTGTCGTCGTTTGGGAGTTTTAGACACGTTTACTCCCACATTTTTCTTTTTTACGTGTCGGGGATAGACATTTTCTTAAGAAGTTCGCGTGCCCATTCCTTTTTTCACAGGAACTTCTCTTTTTACTGGAATGAAAATAGCTGTGTGGTGTTCCAACTTATAAAACCCATTGTTAAATAAAATTTTGTCTAGATACATTCAGGAATTTAGACGTTATTTAATAACAAACATCATTATCATTCATACATCGAATTTTAGCTGTCGCATTAAACTTTAATCAGTTAAAATAAAAACAAATGATATTCTAAATTTAAAATGAAAGAATATCATTGTATACTTTTATCTATATGTCAATCCTTGTTTGTGGTAAATTAATGAATCGAGTTCTTGTTTTAAAAAATAGGCTCGCCTGTTTTTATGACGTCATTATTTATCTGTCCCCTTTACGGGCGATACCATTTTTGGTTGTGTGAGCTTTGATAATTTGTTACATACATCGATACATCTTTGTTTTTTTTATAAATATTTACTTTCAAGTCTAGACTGAAGACAGATTTGGGCAGTTTCAGTATGCATTTGTATTTATCAGCTTGTTTAAGGTAAAATAAACATGAATACAATAAATTAATAACTAATCATACCAATAAAAGTAATCAATGTACTAATGCATATAATTACCGATATTACTTACTTTATTTGAATGGCTTTTGTGACTACCAATCAGAGGGTCGGATTCAATTCTGAAGTCCGTTAAAGATTTTATTGTAAGTTCTCTCAATGTTCTCTCTCTTTTTCAGCTTCCTCTCATTCATATTCATCTCTATTTTGTCTTACAAAAAATTACTGGAGAATAACTCGGTACCTACTTTTGCGTCTTCTCAGTAGCGTAACGATAGATACCGCTTGGGGCTTGTAGCAAATTCAGCGAATAAGCCCCGCTTCCTAATATAAAAAAAATAATAGTTCGGATGAGAATTTCTGAACTGGAAGCCTTCCGGCTCGGGGCGACGGGCCCCGTGGCATTTTGCATACATGCCTGCCAAGTGCCAATGCCAAGAGATACAAAAGACTGTATACCTACTTATTATGATGTAAGTAGTTAATTTAACTCCTAACTAGACTGCAAGGCTAAAATGCCGACAATACTAAAACAAATCCTTCAGTTAATTCATAAATTTTATAGCAAATAAAATGTTACTGTAATAATTTTTATTGCCAAGACAAAACACATTGTTTTCCTAAACGAGTCGTTAAGACAACGTTATTTATAGTCAAGTCGTTAAATAGTTTATAGTCGATTTATTGAAATCTTTAATAGGTATGTCATTTGTATGTTTTAAAAGTTATTTTCTACTTTAAAGTTATACTAAGAAGGTATATTTTTTCATGCGTTAAGTTGGCCTTTCCTTTTTTTCCTTTATTTGTTTTCTATATTCCATAAGTTAATTTTAGTTGTGTGTGTCAACTCCGAGCTAATATACGAGAATTATCAAAAACTAAATCCACTATTATGCCCCGTTGGCCGAGTGATCGCAAGTGCGACTGCCGGGCAAGGGGTCTCGGGTTCGATTCCCGGGTTGGGCAAAGTATTACTGGGTTTTTAAAAATCTCAGTAGTAGCATGGAGTCTGGAAATGTGCCCCGTATATGGCAATAGGCTCACCCCCTATTACATGGGACTCATAACATAAATAGTAAAAAGTGGGTGTTACTTACATTGTACAGTGACATTAAGTGTTGCAATGTGCACCTCTGCCTTCCCCTTCGGGGATAAAAAGGCGTGGTGTTATGTTATGTAAATCCACTATTACTTAGGTACTTTGCCCGGCCCTGACTCTGATCGACTGACTTTGCATTTCAACATGGCACTAAATAACATTATAGCACAAATAGACGATCGCATCGTACTGTTATACCCAAGGAATGTCACACCCTTATCCCCGTCAGAGTACTAACACTTCACTCCTCGTCTCAAATGCATACAACCCCGTCCTATACAAAAACAGTCAGTCGTAATCCATCCACAATCCCGTGCACTCGTGAGTCACACTCGAAATTATATGACCCATAATTTGTGAAGTTAAATAAAAGTATCTCACTCAAATATAGAAATTATACAGAGGTTTCAAAATAAAGCTCTGCGTATGATAACCAACGCACCCTGGTTTGTACCCAATGAGCTGCTACACCATGACCTACGAATGCCCACTGTAAAGCAGGAAATCATACACCATACCAAGTGCTATAATGAAAGAATCCAACAACACCCAAATACTCTGGCTCGGTCACTAATGGACAATCACAACAAAGCGCGACGATTAAAGCGCAAAATACCTCAAGACCTAATCCAACCACAGTAATTATAACTACTGTTTAAATAATGAAGATGTGGCACAGGCCACATACTGAGCGAGTCTGCGTTAGCACAAACCGATATACTTCTGAATGTCCCACGAAGGAGACAGATTGTAGTATTTAATAATATAAAAAAAAGTAATTTTGTTTTTATAATAACTATCGTGAGACATACTAAATTAACTAAAATCGCGGGTTACTCACGTAAATATACTTAAAGAAGAAAGGAAGAAAAACCATTTATTTTTGCGCAGAACACACACAACATAACTAAAAACTACAAAAAATAAAAATAAAATATAATATAGAGCGAGGGTAAACCAACTGAGAGGGTACTGAGAAAAGGTCTACTAGTTTCGAACCACAGAGGGGTTCTTCCTCATGAGCAGCGTGCGCAGTCGCGGCGACGTCGGAGTAACCCGCGATTTTAGTTAAAAGTAATTTTATTCTTCGAACTGCAGTGATTTCTTTAAGAAGAGAACTTAACATTTCAAAATCTAACAGCACCGTCAATTTTCTTCGGCGGTCCGGTAGTATCCATT